CGCCGTCCAGCGCGCCTCTCACGGGCGCGACGCGGGGCGTCGCGCGCGCGCGCATCCGTCCGCGCGTCCCGTCGTGCGGCGGCGTCGTCGTCACCCGATGGGGCCGTCGCGGTTTATCCACACCACGTCTCGCGTGCGCGAGGTTGGGGAACACATCACCTTCAATGGGTCGTGCTCGTGATTTCAACGCACCGTGTGGTGCTTGAGATCGTGATTTCACAGTGCGTGTACGTCAAGCGTATTCGTCGCTGATAGTGACAGTGATAGGCATCACGTGACTGATACTACGACATGTCGGCACCGATGTCGAGGACATACGGCGATGATAAGTAAATTGTGTCACCGGTCGAACCCTAGCACGTCGCGTCGACACCGGTCGCGCGCGCTCGAAAGGTGAAATCACCATCGAACGGTGGTGAAGGTGATTCAAATCACCACGTGTCGGGTGGTGATGTCGATGGTGATGCAGATTTCACCCGACCGAGCGCGACCAGTTCGAGGTCGATGCCGTCGTGTGGGCGACCGGGCCGAGGTCGATGCCACGCCACCGACGCCGTCCCGTCCTCGCCGCGCGCCACCGTCCGGGGCGCGCGACGGGTCCGCGACGCGACGACGTCCGCGCGCGCCCGTCCGCGATCGCCCGCGCGCGCGGAGGATGGTGGACGAGCTCGACGTCGACGACGTGGTCGCGCGCGCGCGCGCGCGCCTCCGCGCCCTGCACGCGGCGCAGCACGCGGTGGTGAATCACCGCGCCCGCGACGGCGTCGATCCCGATCTCGAGCTCAAAGCGTCGCTCGCGCCGTACGTGCGCGATCTGTTCGCTCGCGATGGCACGTCCGAGCGCGCGTCGGCGGCGGCGACGCGAATGGCGTTTTGCGGATTGGAGACGGCGGGCGAGCTGCGGTTCTGGGAGTACGGCGTCGAGTGGTTGGCCACGGCGGAGCGGCGGTTGGCGCTGTACAGGGTGAAGTGCGGTGGATTGGACGCGCGGCGAATGCTGGTGGAGGATGGGTCGGGAGAGGGGGGTGACGGTTTCGAATGGGATTCGGACGGTTCGACGTGGATGCCGTTCGAACTGGCGACGACGGCGACGGGGCGACGCGTGGCGTTGGAGGTGCGAGACGGCTACGCGAAGGTGCCGAAGGAAGCTTTGGCGGAGTGCTACGCGGAGCGCGTCGAGCGAGAGGTGCGAAGGGACTGCGAGAGGGTGTTTAGAAAACTGCGCGCGTGGGTGTCCGCGGGGGACGCGCCGCGCGCGTTCGATCCGAGGTGTCGCTCGAACGCTCTGCGGGCGATACGGACGTGGCAGCCGGCGGTCGAGGACTTGCCCCGCGTCGACGCGCGCGGGGGTGTGAGCCTTGCGAAGCGGCGACGGGCGCGGCGACGAGCGGTGCGCGTGGGTGGCGCGGCGCAGGTGGCGATCGCCGTCGAGGCCGATGACGTCGGTGAAGACGCCGAAGTGCATCGATCCGGCGAGGATTTGAAGCGCGCTCTTGCGGCGGCTCATCCCGCGGCCACGAAGGTGCAGACGCGTCCGTATCCGCCGTGTATGCGGGATCAGTTGAGCGCTTTGCGTCGCGACGCGCACCTGAAGTATGCAGACAGGTTTCGGCTCAATCTCTTCCTCAAGGGAATCGGTTTCGAAGTGGGCGAGACGCTCGAGTTTTGGCGGCGTGGCGTCTTTCCGCGCGGTCGCATGGCCGCGTATCAAAAGGAGCACACGTACTCGATTCGTCACCACTACGGTTTGGAGGGCGCGATGAAGGATTACACTCCGCACAACTGCGAGTCTCTGGGTAAGAAATCGGAAAATGGGCGCGCGTGTCCCTTCGTTGGCTCCAACGTGGACGAATTCCGAAGCGCCTCCAGCTCCAAGGATTGGTTCGGCGAGCTCTCGTTTGACGGTCGCGTAGCGGTTGAGCTTGCTGTGCAAGCGGGCGACGCGCGATGTGCATGCGAGCGCGTCTTCGCCGATTTTCACGGCGGCGTACCCGTCGGTGAGGACTTCCTATTCCCAGTCGACTACTACGATGCTTCGCTCGAGATTGAGGAGCTGTATCGCGAGCGAAAGAGCGCGTTGGCGAAGGCGCCGTCGAACGCCGAAAACGCCGCCGAATCCGGCGACGACGACCAAGCCGAGGACGATGTCCTCCCCAAAAACTTCAAACTCGACGTCGACGAATTTTCTTCGGACGATGACGACAAGTAGACCTAGAAATTAGCCATGTAAAGTACGTTTGCGATGTACAAGCCGCGCGCTCCCGCGCTCGTGTCTCGGACCACTCTCACGCCCAAGCTGCAAGTTTCCCGCACTACTCGGCGCGTCGATCGGCCATCGAGCCCACCGTCGAGTACGCGCGCGCAAACAATCGCGATGACCTGAACGCGCCGAGACTCACGCCGAAGCACCGTCGCGAGCGCCGTCGCTGACTAGAAATGGCGAAAGGGTGTTCGAAGTGCTGCAAAAAGGGTGTTGACGTCGAGACGCCGAAGACGGACGACGGCCCGTCGCCATCGCCGTCGCAAACGAGCTCAGGATTCAGACAGCACTCGTTGACGAAGCTCCTGGGGGGTGGAAATCGGAGAAACTCGCAGGAGAGCGAGCGGACGCCCAGGGATGATCCAGATACGCACTACGGGACGGCGGTGGATGGCGCGACGGACGCGAAGGCTGAGAAACGATTCAATCCAAACTTATTTAAGAAACGCGTGGGTGATCATTTAGCGGCGATGGCAGCGTTGGGGGGGGAGCGACAGCCGCTGATCGACGCGTCGGAGGAGGATGAGTTGGATGAGGCGGACGTCGAGCGAGCCGCGCGCCGGAAGAAACGCGAGGAGCGGAGGAAGCACAAGGACGAGGTCAAGGCTCGAGCGGCGGAATTAAGGGCGACGCAGAGAAGGTGTTGGATCGTACTCGTATTGTTGGTCGTCGTGCTCATCGTTGCCGTCGGAATGCTGTTCGGCGACGTGAGGGAACACGTCTCCGGGATTTGGCCCGCGGAGTCTCAGAACGCGTCGTTGTCGACGAACGAGTCATCGAACGCGTCCAACGTGACGGTATCGACGACCCAAACGACACGACCTGCGTTTGGATCGCCCGCGCGGGAGGTAAAAGACACAGACGATTGGAACGATGCGTACGGAGACGACTCGGACGAGATTGCCGAAGCAGGGATCTCTCGCGTTGATGGAGAAGACGCGTCGACGAGCGAGAATTTCGACATAGAGTGGAATGACCCGCGTGTCCGCACGATTTCACCCAAGGCTTGGCGTCGACACGAGCGCGAGTTAGAAAAACTGAAGCGAGATGCGAGACGAAACGCCAAGGGCGATGTAGAGCGCTGGGTCGAGGGCGCGCACAGAGTGGCTGGAGTCGGTGCGAACCCGTTGGAGGACGAGGAGGATTACGTAGATAGATCTGTCGAGCGGGTCGAAACGTCTCCAGGTCTAATCGTTGAGCGGCGTCGACGAGGAAAAGACGTCGACGGGACGGCTGACGCCTCAGATGTGCTCAGGCAGTCGCAGGTGTCGATTCTGTCGCACGGCTTGATTGCGGACACAGCGAATTCGGCTCAGATGCTGAAGACGATGACGAAGCAAGACGCGGAGGTACGCGGTGACAAATCAGAAGAACCGACGGATACCGCAGCCGCTGGTCGCGCGGAACGAATACCCGCCGCGTTGCCGGAGGTGGAGTCGAGGACCGACGACGCGGAGGCAAAAGAAGACTTTGGCATGTCCCAGCTGTTCAGGTCGCGCGATGAGCCCGTCGTGCACGAGCGACAACCAGACCCAGAGTCAACATTTTCTCTCGCGCCTCGGCGTGCATTAGGATGATTAGCAATTAGTTGTGATGATGAGTGAATCGGAGTCGTAAAATGAGAACGCGCCGCTTCGGAGAGGCGCATACAACATGTGCGGTATGTTCGTTAAAATCAACGGTGAGAACCACTCCAGTCGGTCGTTAGGCACGTATTATGAGTTCTGCGCGCTCACATCACGCAGCAACCCTTCTTCTTACCCTCATTGATCGGCGCCAACTTCCCACCGAGCGCCTCGAGCAGTTTTTCCTTGTGCTTACCGTCGGCAAGTTGGATCGCGGTTTCTCCATCATTGTTCTTAATCTTCGTGTCAGCGCCAGCAGCGACAAGTCTTGCAACGTTATTCACGTTCCCAGCGCACACCGCGTACATGAGCGCCGTCCACCCATCTTCGTCCTGCGCGTTCAAGTTGACCTTCTTTTCGATCAAGTACTGCAAGACGTCGCCGTACGAGTGCGCCGCCGCGCTCATCGCCGGCGTCCCCCCATCCGCGCTCTGCAGATCCAGGAGAGACGACCCCCGCTGCATAGCCTTCAAGACGTCCACGTGTCCACCGGACGCCGCGAACATCGCCGCCGTCTTCCCGGCGTTACTCTGCAAATTCATGAAAACCCCATACAATCACCGAGTCAGTCCTCTGAGTCAACCTTTTCGCCAACGCCACGTGTGCGTAATACCTAACGACCGCGCAGGTTGAAAGATCGTCTTCGTCGATGCGTTTCCGACGCGCCCACCGTCGCTTTGACGCGACGGAACGGTCAAAAACGTTATCTCGATCGTCCACCATCCTTCAAACGCGGTCGCGAACCGCGACGCACCTCTCCGCACGCGCGAATCGAAATGTCCGCCCCAGAGTCGAGGCACTCGATGACCTTCTTCAAATCGCCCTCCGCTGCCGCTTTGTGGAGCTGCGTCAGCCCGCTGAACGTGTCGTGATCATCGATGCCCATTGCGTGTACCGTGTAGTGTCCTCGACGGGTCCGTCGTGCGGTCGCGTTCCGTGGAGAACGCGCGTGATGTCGTGCCGATGCCGATCGCGCGCGATCGATCGTCCACGCGTTTCGGTCGAGATTCTGGTCGGCGTCATACTGTACGCGTGTGAAACCAGCGTGTCGGTGCATCGTATATCATGGTCTAAAACTCTTTACAATACGTAAACGCAGCCGTCACGGCCGCGTCAGCGCGCGGGCGCGCCTCGGCAGAGATCGACGACGATGCTGCGCGCTCGCGTCGCGCTCAGGTCGAGCGCGCTCGCACCGCGCGCGGTGAACCGTCGGCAAGCGCGCGGACCTCGCGCCGTGCACGCGTCGAACGCGGAGGCGAACGCGAAGGATGCGCAGCGATGGATCGACGCGTGGACGTCGAGCTCTGGTGCGACGAGCGCTCAAGGCGCGTCTTCGTCGTCCGCGGACGAGAACGCGGCGAACGCGCAGCGGTGGATCGATGCTTGGCGGTCTGCGAAGGGCTCGGGCGCGCAGACCGGGGGTGCGGCGAGCTCTATGAGCGCCCTGGACGCGGTGCTCCCGAAAGAGACGGAAGCGCGAGAGGCGCCGAAGCCGAAGACGCCGACGGAGCGTAAGCCCGGGGGAATATCGCCAGAAATGCGGAAGAAATTGATGAACGAGAGCGTTGGGCTCGGTGGGTTACCGGATAAGCCGATGGAATCGAACATTTTCGCAAACGTCATCTTGGGAGTGTTGGCGATCGTCATCGTTGCGTACGTCGGCGGAATTCGCCCATAGAAGGCGCTCACGCTTTTGTGCTCAGGCTCGTTCGAGCGTGGGCGAACGACTCTACAAACGTTGTAAAGAATAATCGAACGCGCGTTCGAACGCCCTCGCCGCTCGCGTCCGAGTCCACATTTCGCGACGCGCGAGCGAATCGTCATGAGCGCCCCGACGACGCGAAATGCGAACCACGAGCGTCCGTCGACGTCACAGAGCGTACGTACGCGTCAGGCATCTCGATATCGTGACTGGACTGGAAGCGCCCGTCAAACGCGAAATAAAGTGTACTGAGTGACTGACGCGCAGACGGTCCTCCAACGAGCAGGCCGCGAGGCGCACACGAACGGTCGACGCTGCGATCGAAGATGCGCGCGTATTCACGCCTACCTTGGAGGAGTTTGCTGATCCTATCGTGTACCTGACGAAGATTGAGCCGCTGGTGCGGCGAACGGGGATATGTAAGGTGATCCCGCCACGCGGTGCGAAGCCGACGTGGAACGAAGATGTGTGGAGAAAAGACGTGTCGACGTTCGAGACGAAGCTGCAAAACGTGCACAAACTCAGTGAGGGGCGATTATTTCAGTTCGGAAAGTCGTACACGAAAAGTGGGTACAAGGCGATGGCGATGGCGTTCGAGAAGGAGTGGGCGGAGGGTCGGGCAGATTTCGACGCGTGCGACGTGAACTCAGTCGAGCGGGCGTTTTGGAACATGGTGGAGACGCAGGAGGAGAAGGCGGCGGTGGAATACGGGAACGATCTTGACACAAAGGAGTTCGGCACCGGCTTTGGCGTCGATGCCCACGGTGAGCGGCATCCGTGGGACTTTGAACATTTGTATTCGCACCCGCTCAACCTGTTGCGAGTTATTGAGCACGACATCCCCGGGCTCACCAAACCGTGGTTGTACCTGGGGATGCTCTTTGCGACGTTTTGTTGGCATGTTGAGGATCACTTCTTATGCTCGGTGAACTACTTACACACGGGTGCGTCGAAGACGTGGTACGGGGTCCCTGGGAGCGACGCAGAGGCGTTTGAGAATTGTGCCAGGGCGACGGTGCCTCGTTTGTTCCAGCAAGCGCCCGACATCTTGCACCAGATCGTCACTATGGTTCCTCCGGGAATTTTGATCGACCACGGTGTCAAGGTGGTGCACACGGTGCAGCACCCGGGTGAGTTTATCGTGACGTTTCCACGCGCGTACCACGCTGGTTTCTCGCATGGCTTTAACGTCGCCGAGGCGGTGAACTTCGGACACGCCAACTGGCTCGATCATGGTCGTCGCGCTATCGACGTTTACAGCACTGGTTCTTTCAAGCGTAACGCTGTGTTCGCACATCATCGACTGCTCGCCAGAGCAGCCGAAACCTTCGCTGAGGTCCTGAATGCGAAGGGTTTGCTCCTGAAGAGTAAAGTCATGGGCACAGTCATCGCGACGCTGTGCAAGGAACTCGAATCGATCGTGAGTGATGAAGAGATTTATCGCTCTTCGCTCGTTCGACGCGGTTTAAAGATGGAAGTGGTCGCGCTCCCTAATGAAGACGACGACGCGTGCTGTATTCGCTGCAAAGCGATTCCGTTTCTCTCTGTCGTTCGATGCAAGTGCCTGCCCACCGCGGTGCGCTGCCTTCGACACGCCATGGATGGGTGCGACTGTGCGGCGTCAGAGCGATGTCTTGAGGTGCGCGTCATGGGTTCGTACATCCGAGGTCTTCTACGTTCATTACTCCTCGGTGAGCCCGTGGAAAAAGCTGGCGGCATGGCTGAGGAGAAGGACCTGGAGAAATTCGTAGCAAGTGTGAAAACGGTAGCCGTCATTCGCTCGCCGTCAACGACCGCTGCGCCGCCAGCGTCGAAGAAATCCAAGCTCTCCGATCTGGACCAGACCGTAGAGGGCTTGCAAGAACGCATCGAAGAGCGGCAAGCACTCTTATCTCGCACCGAGGGGGGTAAAGTCTGGACTAGTGAGCGCGCCAAGGCGTTCGACAAAGCCGCCGAGCAACTCGGCGGCATGTTCAAGGCGACGAGTGGGGACATCGGCAAGATCCTCCGCGATGAATACGACATCCATGCTTCACGAGATCAGATAGGTAGTCGCCTGCAGAAGTGTCGCAATAAGCTCAGGCGCGAGCAACAGTCAACTGACGGAGACGGCGTGTAATTCACAACAACCGCCCCAGCATCACCTCTCGCGTCACATCCCCGCGTGTCGTAACCGTATGACCAAGCGCGCGCGCACGAATGTCATAGATGACATTCCCAACGTTCCCATCTGTTTGAAATCTGCGCTCGAGCGATGGGGCCTGAACGAAGTCGGGAGAGGCGTGAGCGAGCGATTGAAGTGCAAACTCGTCCCGGTGTGTTACAACGCCAATGACGAACGTAAATGCATCGAACGGGGCGTTCCGGCGCTATGCGCGAGCGAGGAGTATGCATCAGACGTTTTCGCGGAGTTACGTGGACGAGATGCGATTGAGTGGGCGACGACATCGGATTGGAGTACGTTCGACGAGCGAGGGAAAGTCGCCATGGTCGGCGGCTGGGGTGCGCCTGGGACGCACGTGCTGAGTAATCGCGACATGATAATTGTGAAGAGTTTCGGGGAGGTCTTACGCGGTGAGAAGCCTCTGAATTTACAGATGTTTCATCGAGAGGACACGAGAGTGCCGGTGATGGCGAGAAAGCTGCGTTGGCCCGCCGAGACTGAATTTTTTGCCACGGATGGCGGCCCGGAGGTTCCTGGGCGGCTACTCGACGATGCGACGCGCGTGAGCGCGAAGGGAGCGATGACGTGGTGGCACTTAGACGATTGCGGTGAGTTTGTGTGTCAAGTGGGACTTCCGGAGACGCGGGAGCTGCAAGAGGGCGTCTTGCTTGGCCCAACCGGGAAGCCGGTGGTGAAGCTCTTCTTCTTTGCTGAGCGAAGAGATTACGCTTGGATCGCTCAGGACGCGGAGATGAACAAGACAATGCGGAATTGCGCTTTAGGGATATTCGATACGCCGAGTCATTACTATCCTACGGTAAGCGAGATGGCGGCGCCATCCACGGCGCCGCTCGACTTGGAGTCGCCGAAGATGTTTGAAGGCACCAGGTGTGAGTCAGGAATAGATCCGTGCCCGGTCCTCTGGGTTGCCGCGCTCGAAGCCGGTGGTCCGCCTCTCCTATCGCCACCAAACGTCATTCACTGCGTGCTCACCGTGAGAGATTGCGTGATGTGCGAGGAGCGACGACTTTCACTCGCGTTCATGGATGAAGTGCTATATTTCCAGCGACGTGCATCACGCTGGTGCGAGCCTCCGATATTTTATACCTTCGTTCGAGAAGACTTGCGCGACGCCAAGAAAGCTAGGACAAATGCGGTTCGTCCGCTCGCGGCGATGTTGGAGCGTCTGAAACGGGATGGCTCATCGGCGGACGATGCGTACCGGGTCTCGCGCTGTCTCATGTCTCTGAAAATTCTGGCGAATCATGCACCCGAGTTCTACGCTCTGGATGCCGACGGCGTGTCCGAAGCTCGTCATCACATCGATGCAATGACATCGTGGTTGAGTGAGGACGACGCGAGCGGTTTTCGCGCCATGGTACGTACCGCGGCACAAAACGATCCACGAGCCATCGAGGACGCCGCGCTCGCAGAAGCTATGGTTAACGAAACGCTCGGTCAGCACAATCTCGGTGATGGAAAGGTGTGCGCGGTAGTTCACGAGAAGGGTCGTCCGCGATGGGGACCGGTCCGTACGTCCGCCTCACTCGTCGCGAAGGATCGAAAAGATATGAAGAACGCCATTCGCAGCGGGACGCTCGACGCATTGCTCCTCGAGTATCGCCACGAGGTTTTGTAGACTAGAATGTACAACGAACGTCGAATATAACTATGCGAGTCCCTTCTATTGCGTTTGGTTTCTGTCTTATTCGTCTGCACGATCGAAACACTCGCGAATTAGTGTCAAAATTTCATCTCCGTGAGAACACAGGCCGTCATGCCCCACTCCTTTCAACATCCAGTAATAGTCCACGTCTTGCTCCCACGAACGCATCACTCGCTGCGGCGCCGCAAAGTCTCTATCACCGCATACGCATCCGATGCGCCACGCACGATTTTTCTTCCTCCACAAATCCATCGCGCCTGAGTCGTAGGCGTCCATCACTACGCGTGTCCACGTCTCCGCGTGCAATCGTCTCAAGTGTACGAAAAAGTGTTTGAACGCGCCATAGGACGAATTCAGATATCCCAATACCCTGAGCAGCGACCATGTGACGTACGGAAACGTCGCGGCGAACCGTAACGCAAAAAATATTATCCTCGTCACGGTTTGTGTTCCGACAGCGCCCGCTGCGCGTCCAACAACCAGCGCCCCACGACGCCCCAACAAACCGTCCAATATCCGCTCCGGCGATCCCAACACCGCAACGACCAAGCGCACGCGCGTCGGTCGCAAACGGATCATTTCCATCGCCACTCGCACTCCATAGGAATAGGCCACCACATCCACGGCCGTCCTAGTCGCCACGTGGCCGAGCGTGTCAAAGAAATCATCCACGACCGCCCACGCGTCGTGAGCGAACGACGATGCAGTCACCGTGGATAAATCTTTAGGGTCGTCTGATTCGCCGTGCCCGCGGTAGTCGAACTCGATGGTCCACACGCGTTTGGCGCGCTCGCTCGCACACGCCTTGAGCTGAAAGCAATCGTTTGACAATCCGTTCACGAACACTGTTGGAGGATTGGACGACGACGGCGCATCGGCGGACCTCTGAGCGGTATACGAGATCAATGCGCCGTCGTGCGAGCAAACGCGTCGAGCGATGGATGGCATTCACGTTCCATTATGGGGTCGCGGACAGCGAGCGAGTGTAGGAAAACCGCGCTGGATACATTACAACAACAAGGGTGTGCGCTCGCTCGCGCGACGACGCGCTCTGAATGCTTAATACGGCGCACGCAGAGCGTCGGTAGCGTCGTCGAGCACGCGCGTAATAACGATATTAATATTCTCTCTCTGCGGAACCCGCTCAACCGCCAGCCGCCTCACGCGTCGCCATCTTCACCGCCGCCTCGAACCTCAACGACGACACCTCGCGCACTCGTACGCGCGCCCGTTTTGTCGTTCCCAGCGCCGATTCCAAGCTCTCGACCAGATAACACTCCTCGCCTGAGTCGACGCCACGAAAAACGCCCGAGGCGCACGGCGACGCGTCGCCCAACAACGTAATCTCACATGCACGCCCGACTAGGTCGCTGTAAGACGCGATCGCCCGCAGACGAAGCGCTACACGTATTCTCTGTGCCTCTGTGGAGTCTTCGGCGACTACTTCGTCGTGTGCACGCGCCATTGGAACGATTTCGTTGGAGTGCACCAACTGTGATAATCAATCCGAACGCGTCTTTCGCTACGTGTGAGACGTCAGAGGCGTGCGTTGCGCGTTCGAGCGCGTGCAATCGCGAGTGTGCGCGGGTACAGACCCTGGAGCCTGAAGCCGCGTGCGTGGTGGCCGTAACGAGAACGCGCGAGACAGAATGGCGCGTTTCGTGAGACAGCTGGGGACAGGCTGGAGGCTCTTTCGGGTTCGGCGGGCGTCTTTGTTATTATATTGAACGGTCGCACTCTTAACGAGAGACGGCGGACTTGAGCGCGGTCTTCGTGGCGAACACGACGTCGATGACGTCTTCAACCACCTTGTCCGGGGTACTGGCACCGCTGGTGATGCCGATGACGACGTCGGAGGCCGGGAGCCAGGCGTCCGTGGTGACGAGCTCGCCGTGGGCTAGCTTGTGGGTGATTGAGTTCTTCGACGGGTCGAGGCGCTCGGCGGTGTCGACCCAGTAGCTCGGAATGGACTTATCCTCGGCGATCTCTTGAAGGTGAGAGGTGTTGGAGGAGTTGAAGCCACCGACGACGAGCATGATGTCCGGCTTGTCGTCGACGAGCTTGTACATGGCGTCCTGGCGCTCCTGTGTCGCGTCGCAGATGGTGTCCATGACGACGAAGTGCTGGTCGGCGTTCTCAACGCCAAACTTCTCCATCATGGTCTGTTGGAACAACTTACCGATCGCCTCGGTCTCGCCCTTGAGCATCGTGGTTTGGTTAGCAATGCCGACGCCGTTGAGGTCCTCGTCCGGGTCGAACCCTTCACTCATGGCGTTCTTAAACTTCTCCATGAACTCAGCCTTATCGCCGCCGTTCATGATGTAGTCTCGAACGTACTCTGCCTCCGTCATGTCCTTCACGATCAAGTACGTCGTGGCGAAGCTCGCCGTGGCGACCGTCTCCTCGTGAGAGTACTTGCCGTGAATGATTGACGTGAACTCCTTGCGCTTGTGCGTGTCCACGGCGTTCCAAACCTTGCTCACCCACGGGCACGTCGTGTCCACGATGTTCGCCCCTCTGTCGGCCAAGAACTTCATCTCGTGCACGCTCGCCCCGAACGCGGGCAGAATAACGACCTCGCCGCTCTGCACGCCCGAGAAATCCTTCCCGTTCTCGCTCTCCTCGATAAAGTTCACTCCCATGTCGCTCAGGCGTTCGTTCACCGTCGGGTTGTGAATGATCTCGTTCGTGATCCACAGCTTACTCTCCGGGAACTGCTTCCGCGCCTCGTACGCCATCTGCACCGCACGTTCGACGCCCCAGCAGAACCCGTACGCATCCGCCAATTTAAACGTGATTCCATCCTTGACGTACGCGAACCCCTCATCCTTCATCTTCGCCACCAAGCCGCTCTTGCTGTACGAGATCCCATCGTTCGCCATCTTCGTCGCCGCCTCATCATCGTTCAGGAACTTCCTCGAGTACTGATCGCTCTTCCCGAGCTCCCGTCGGTACTCCCGAGGGTCAAAGGGCAGCTTGGGCGCCGCGCGCGTCTTGACGAGCGCGCGGGAGATCGTGGGTGAGATCTTCGGCGCGATCGAGTTTCGTCCACCGCGCGCGCGCGCGTCGACGACGCGGTGCGTCGCGTGGGTCACGACGCGCGTCTGCATCGCGTGCGTCGATGATGTGATTTTCAGCGCGTGATTCGAGGGCGTCGCGTCGAAGTGTGTGGGCACGCGACGGGCGGAGCCGGCTTATCCGCGCCGCTCGCCGCGCGCGGCGACGCGACTCGAGTCGCGCGCGACGGACGGGCGAACGACGCGTGGGCGCACGACATCCACGAAGAATCGTGATTAAAGCCGTGGCTAAGCGCTAGGTATCGAACAGTGATGATACACGAATGTCGAGGCCAATCGTCGACGCCGCTCGAACCGTCGGCGGCGTCGCGTCCCGCGTCGACCTCACGAGGCGACGACCGCGTCGACCGCCCCGACGCACCTCGGACGCTCCCATCGCACCTCGCCCGTCTCGACGTTCCAATAATACGGAATCTTACCCTCCGTCTCGCTCGGGAGCTCCCTCCACGGCGCCGGGAGCGTCGGTTTATGCGTCTCGTACGCCCGCGCGACGACGCGGCGCGTCCCCTTGAGCGCGCGCGGTCGCTCCCACTGCACCGTCGCCCTGTTCTCCTTATCGTAGTAATACTTCCGCCCGTCCCGCGTGATGGCTTGGCCCCATTTGTCCTCCGCTTCGCTCAGGCGTTCGGCGTCCGCGACGTCCGCCGCGGCGACCGCGGCGACGGCTCGCGCGCGACGCACGAGCGCGAGAAATTCTTCATCGACGTCCTGCGTCTCCGCATCGTCGTCGTTCGACATCGCGAACGAACGCACGGTGCGCGCGCGCGACGACGGGTCGATCGAGCCCCCGTCGGACGCTCGGGATGGGCGACGCGACGCGCGATGTGGGGCGATGGATTGGATTTTCATGCGTTAAACGCACCACCGCGACGCGTCGAGCGACACATCGTCGCCCGCGCGACGATCGACCGCGTCGCGTTCGAGCACCGCGGCGTGGATGTTGCGACGCGTCGCGCGCGTCGTCGCGAGACGCGCGCGAGGGGCGCGAACGAGCGCGCTCGAAGAAATCGCCGATCGCGTCGACGCCGCCAGCCCTAACGTCGGCATCGTAAACTTTGCGCGCGCGCGTCCGTTCGCGACGGAGACGTCGAACGAGGACGCGACGACGACGAGCGAGGGTGTGAATGAGGCACCGGTGGAGACGCCGGAGGAAAAAGCGCGAAGACGGATGAGCGCGAGCGCGAGAAGATCTCGCGAGGTGGCCGAGAGCGGCGGCGCGCGGAGAGAGACCTGGGGATGGTTGTACGATCTTACCGAGCTCGGGGAGACGGCGGAACGGTGGACGAACGGAGATAACGCGCGATTGAGCGATCGAGCGAAGACGCAGATGTACGCGCTCAACGCGGAGGATCCGGAGACGTGGACGGTTGAGGCGCTCGCGGGTAAATATCGCGTGCGGGAGCAGCGGGTGGGGGCGATTCTGGCGCTGAAGAAACGCGAGGAAGCGGCGGTGCGAGAGAACCAGACGCTTTTTCACGACGCAGAGACGGCGATGGAGCGAGCGGCTGGGACGGTGGAGGCTGGGAACGGGGAGAGGCACGTGTACGATGCGCCGACGATGCCTCACTTTCAGACGGTGAGCGCGTTCGAGCACGGACGCGCGGCAAAGCCGAAGCGGTTCATCGAGGCGAGCGAGCTGGCTAAGCAGCAGGAGCGTATATTGGTACGCGACTTCTTTGATCGTTTGGAGTACAACATGGGCGAGCGGGCTCCGGGTTTGATCAGGACGCGCGGCAAGGGACGAGTACCGCGGAGACCGGAGGGCGGGTATGCCTTGCACGTCACCCCGCTCGGAGACACCGAGCAAGAGCCGTACGTGGCGTATAATGACGGCACGCAGCGTCCGCTGAATGACGACGAGCGCGAGTTATCTCGTCAAAAGACGCCTAGACGACGGCGTCGTTTGCTGTAGGAACTGCCGGTGTAACAATGCACATCAAAACAATCGATTCATTTTTTCGTTCCTACTACAGCGCTTTTTCCTAATCGTAGTCTATTTCGTTCAGTCGATGAAATCTTTCGCGAACGGGGCGTGGATGAAGGTGTGAAGCGTCTTCGCCTGCCTTGCGTCTTCGAGTATCGCCGCGAGTTCTTCCTCGCTCAGGTCGCACATCTTCTCTATGCTCTCAACCTTTGCGATGACTTTTCTATAGTTTCTATCGGTGATTCCGGGAAGTCGGCGGAGTAAATCAACTGCCATATCATTCAGGTCGTCTTGCACGAGTTTGTACACGTCGCCGTCGGCGTCTGGGACGCCAATTCTCTGCGCCACCTCGAGCACGGGCTCGGGTTCGATCGCCTTGAGGGATGCGAAAACTTCAGCCGTCATCTGCATCGACCGACTCCAAATCATTCGTAGCTTCGGAAACTGAATGGCGAGCATACTGATTTTTGTGATAATGTGGTTCTGACCGGGGAAGCGAGGCAAGTCGGCGGCTGCGCTCAACGCGAACGCCTTTTCGCCGTCAAACTCAATTAGCAATACCGGAGTTTTGTAATACTTGCACATCGCCTCCACCTGCGATATCAATCGTCCCGAGGCAAAGGACTGAATCAAATCCGGAATTGCTTTGCGCTCGACGCAAATGTCCGGCGTAAGAATATAGTCTCCGACTTCAAGCGTTGTCGGTCGCACCTTGAATCCGGCGGCGTGTAGAACGCACGGAAGTGCGGACATGAACTCTCGCATATCGACCACGATTTCGAGTGACGAGCGAATCGTGAGCGTACCACCACCTTTTCGTGTGCTAACCTCGCGCGATTCCTCGATTCTTTGTCTTGCGATCGACCTCGGTAGCGACAGTGGAAGCGGATTCGGTGAATCGGTCCATCCTTCTTGTTCAGCAGGAACAGCCATGTGCTGCTTGGTGCGGATTAAGTTTTCAAAAGCCGCGCTCTCGCGCTTGATACTCCCCAGGTATTTCTGTTCTTCCAGAGACGTGTCGTATACCATGAAATACACCTTGACGGTCACCTCTGGGTGTTGCGCCTGATACACCTCAAGTTCGCGAATGAACGCGGCGTCAGGATCGTACATCACCACGAACGAAGGCCGGATCCGATTCAGCAGGTTAAGTTTTCTTTCGTGCGCGTACACGAAAATACTGTCCGTATCGCGTTTCACCACGGAGCGCGTGCGCGTCTCGCCAATCACGATGACTTCGTCGTCATTGAGATCGAGCGCCTCCTCCTTGTGTTCAGGTTTAACTTCGACTTGCTGCGGCGCCTTCTTCTCCTCTCTCGACTTTTCACAAATAATTGACTTCTTCGCCTCAGCCGCGGCGGTGGCGAGGAGTCTGCTTTCCTCGGTTCTTCCGTCTAGATCGAGCGCGGGATCTTCGACTTCGCGTCCCTCTATTCGCGCCTGCATGGCTTCGAGTTTGGAGAATCTGCGCTGCGGTTGTTGTGGCTGGCCGCGTCCGCTGCGCCTGCCACGCCCACCGTCGCGTCCCCTCGTGCGAACCCCACCCCGGCGCTTTGCAACCTGCGCGGCGACGTTATTCGCCCCTCGATTACACAGGTAATCGGTCCAGTGCGCGCGCATCAAAGCCTCAGCGCCGTATCGAATACAAAACTCCAGCTGCTGCACGACATGCTCTTCTTTGCACACTATCAGCGTCGCACCTTGCTTGTACTTCAGCGTTTTGTCTACATCGTTGAATTCCTGAGACGCGTACGGCTGAGAAAAAGTCAAGTCGATAACGGTTTCCGAGGCGGCGACGGCGAGTAACTCGCCTCCTTGCCTGCGCTCCTCGTCTATTTCATCTAAAATTTCCTCCACGAGCGTCCACTTCGGCATCGGCTCCAAGACTGGGACGAGATCGGAACCCAAGACTGGGGTCGGGAGCGCGCGCTTGCCGAGTCCTTTCGGCGGCTGCGCCGCGGCTTTGCGTCTGAGTAAGTACACGCGTTTTTTCGCATACTCAAAAATTGCGTGCGAAGCCTCGGTGAATAACCACATGGCCTCCCGCGATTCGCTCGCGCGCAACGTCTGAAGATACTTTAAAAATGTCACCGAATCGTACTTCAAGAGTCCGTCCGCGAGCAAGCGCAAGGTTTTCAAATCGTATACGATTTGTTTCACGCGCTTGGGCACGACGTTCCACACCTTGTCAAGCTGTCGTTGCAAAATCAGATCGAAACTCTTGAACAGCCCACTCTCGAGCGTTAGATCACTCGTGTCAATGTACCGACTCTTCTTTAACTCCGACATGCATGAATCCATCACGCTCACTATCGCCTGCTGAATCATCAGGACGTTTTCACTGAGCGGTTGCCTGAGCTCGATCACCTCTGGAGGCGTCGCGTCCAAATCCTCCTTCACCCGCAAATGAAAACGCGGCCACAGGTGCACGCGCGTCAACATCAGCGCCTTCATGCATCGCTCTACACTACTGAACCCCCTCGTCAAATCTCCCGGTCTATCGCTGATCGCTCGCACGTATCCGCTTCGATTTCCTTCCCGAAACAACCGCACGACGAACCCCTCTCCCGAGACCTCCGTCGCTCGATGCGCGTTGCACACGATCACCCCTCGCACTCGCTTCGCCTCCAATCTTCCACTCAACAGATCCACGCTCGCGATACGCGTCGTCACGAACGCCACGCACCCATCCTCGTACCGCTTACTCCGCGCGTCGCCGCTCGTCTCGCTCGTGAGCTCCAACGGCGGTCGCGCCCCGGGGAACAGCGCCTCCGCGCGCTCCTTCACGCTCACTTTGATCGCATCCGTGGCGCCGACGATCAAAGTGACGCGACCGCGTTCACCGAGCGGTCGTTCGCGCAGCAGCGCGTCGTCGACGGCGCACAGCGCGGCGATTATCGACGCCGCACCGAGTCCCTCCGCCATGACGATGACGCCGTCTCTGTCCAACACATCGCGCGCGATCGCGCGTTGGAAGGGTAAGAGGGATGACGCGTCGAGGACGGATTCGCTCGTCGACGGCGAGGCGACGACGAGCGCCATGAGGGCGACGGGGTGTGCGGGAAGAAAGATTTCTGTTAGAGTCGCGGCGGCGGACGCGTCGAGCGCCGCACGGATTCGTATTAACAAATGGTGCGCGTCACGCGATGCGGAACATCTCGAGCGCGTCGACTAAGATTTTTTTCTTGCACGCGCGGTAGATGAAGCGCGTGCGCTGGGCGTCGTCGACGCACTCGCCGGCTCGGAGCGCGCTGAGGTCCTCGGCGAACGTCGTCGGCATCTGCGCGAGAAGCTGTTCGCAGCGCGCGGCGACGTCCGCGCGGGCGAAGCGGAGCTCATCGCCACAAACCGGTCCCGCGGCATCTCCCGAAGTTTCGGTGCCGGCGAAAATCGCGGCAAAGGCGCTGAGGAGACGCGCGTCGACGCGGCCGAAACTGAGCGTCTTCAACCGAGGTTCCGCCGCGGCGAGTTTGGCGTCAACGGAACCCTCCGCTTCGAGAGATTTTGTCACGCGTTCGTACGCCGCCTTCGCGGCACGCTCACGAATCTCCGCGTCGGGTCCGTCCCAAAGCTCGGGATGCGCCACGGAGTGCCACGCCAACGCGTGCTCGAGGTTGCTGAAGAGGACGCAGTCATCGTGCGGGTTGTTATCCGGCGCGAAACCGTAATAGATGAGGAAGTGATCATTGCTCCGCTCACCGTACGACATGAGCGCCGCTTCACCTTCGGCGATGTCGCGCGTCGCCGCGAAGTGCACGACGCCGTCGTCATCGAGCTCGGACCACGCGATGTTGTCCGTCGCCGTCGTCTCCACATTCGTCACCGCACCCGTCTCTTCGTCCTTGGTCAAACCCGTGACGATGTCCCCGCCGTGATTGATCATATCGGCCAGCGGTAACAACGCGCGAAACAAACCGGCGTTATCGTTCGCACTCGCGATCCCGTACGTCCGCGAGTGCACGACGCTCACCGCGTCCACGAACGCATCGTAATCGAAAACCGCGTCACCCAAAGCCTCGGGCGCCGTTTTCTGCAACTTTTCGTGCCACTCCCGCGTCGCGCGCCGCATCTCTCGAATCTCCGTCATCGCCGGAGGATACTGCACCTCCTCGATCGCCCGCGCGTCGTACAGCGCCGGCGACGACTCCACGCGTTCCGGAAGCGTCGCCACGTACGCCGCATACGCGCTCGCCCCCCCCTTCTTCCGTTCCTGCAGCACCCGACACGCCAATCGCACCCCCCAGGGCGCCTCCGCCATCGCCGCGCGCGTCCGCTCCGGGTGTCCGCGCGCCTCGTCCACGATGCCGCTCGTGAGCGACGCCCCGAGCACGCGCTCGCCCGCGCGAACGTCCCTGGAGAGTTCCAGCCCCCGTCCCGAGCCTTGATCGAGGTCCACGCGGAGCGCGCGCGCGTACGTTCCGCGGTCGGCGCACCATCGCGCGAGCGTCTCCACGCGCGATGCGTCGTCGTCCACCACCGCGCGCGCGGTGCGCGCGGTGCGCCGCGCGCGCGGCCGCGTCGACGGCACCGCGGTGGACCACCGCGCGCGCGCGCGCATGGACGGCGTGTGCGGCGCGTGCCGACGTGGGTGCGATTTTCGTGTCCCGGTACGTGTGTGTAAAGTGTAAAGTGTAAATTGTAAAGCACCGTGAGGTCGGTGAAGAGCGACGTACATTGCTCGGTGTGACGCGCGTCGCGGTCGGTCGGTCGCGGCGTCGACGCGATCCCGCACGGGGCGCGCGCGCGAGGGCGTTCGCGCGCGCGTCGGTACCGGTACCTCGAGTACGTTAATGAAGCATGAGAAAGCCCGCGACGAGAGCGACGGATGTGAAAGTACGCGTGAGACGGCTCGTCCCGCTCGGTGGCGGCGGGCTCGGCGGCGGCGGTGGACTCGGTGGCGGCGGTGGACTCGGCGGCGGCGGTGGACTCGGCGGCGGCGGACTCGGTATCATGCGCCAGGTGTTCGCAGGGCCGTCGACCGAGGTATCGCTGCTGTTAGACTTCACGTAGCGAGCGAGCCACGCTGTCGCGCCATTGAACATGTCAGAAGAGGACGAGAGGCTGGATGAGTTCCAACCCGTGATGTCTTGGTTGAACGCCGTCGCATTGGAGAACATCTCTTCCATGCTCGTCACGCTCGCGGTGTTCCAGGCGGAGATGTCTTGGTTGAACGCCGCCGCTCCTTTGAACATCTCATACATGGTTGTCACGCTCGTGGTGTTCCAGGTGGAGATGTCTTGGTTGAACGTCGCCGTATCTCGGAACACGGAGTGCATGCTTCTCACTTTCGCGGTGTTCCAGGTAGAGATGTCTTGGTTGAACGCCGCCGCATCCCGGAACATCGCGTACATGTTTGTCATGCTCGCGGTGTTCCAGGTAGAGATGTTTTGGTTGAACGCCGTCGCATTGGAGAACATCTCTCCCATGCTCGTCACGCTCGCCGTGTTCCAGGTAGAGATGTCTTGGTTGAACGCCGTCGCATTGGAGAACATATCTTCCATGCTCGTCACGCTCGCGGTGTTCCAGGTAGAGATGTTTTGGTTGAACGCCGTCGCATTGGAGAACATATCTTCCATGCTCGTCACGCTCGCGGTGTTCCAGGCGGAGATGTCTTGGTTGAATGCCGCCGCTCCTTTGAACATCTCATACATGGTTGTCACGCTCGTGGTGTTCCAGGTGGAGATGTCTTGGTTGAACGTCGCCGTATCTCGGAACACGGAGTGCATGCGTCTCACTTTCGCGGTGTTCCAGGCGGAGATGTCTTGGTTGAACGCCGCCGCATCCCGGAACATCGCGTACATGTTTGTCATGCTCGCGGTGTTCCAGGTAGAGATGTTTTGGTTGAACGCCGACGCGCCAGTGAACATATCTTCCATGCTCGTCACGTTCGCGGTGTTCCACGCGCCGATGCTTTGGTTGAACGCCGACGCGCCAGTGAACATCCCCGCCATGTTTGTCACGCTCGCGGTGTTCCACGCGCCGATGCTTTGGTTGAACGCCGACGCGCCAGAGAACATCCCCGCCATGTTTGTCACGCTCGCGGTGTTCCACGCGCCGATGTCTTGGTTGAACGCGGACTGAGGCCAAGACGCGCTAAAGCCGTCGCCAGAGAACATCCCCGCCATGTTTGTCACGCTCGAGGTGTTCCACGCGCCGATGTCTTGGTTGAACGTGAATGCGCCGTAGAACATCCCCTCCATGTTTGTCACGCTCGCGGTGTTCCATGCGCCGATGCTTTGGTTGAACATGACTGCGACAGTGAACATCATTCCCATGTCTGTCACGCTCGCGGTGTTCCACGCGCCGATGTCCTGGTTGAACGCATACGCAGCAAGGAACATCCCCGCCATGTTTTTCACGCTCGCGGTGTTCCACGCGGAGATGTCTTGGTTGAACGCGGACGCGCCAGTGAACATCCCCGTCATGTTTTTCACGCTCGCGGTGTTCCACGCGCCGATGCTTTGGTTGAACGCGGACGCGTCACTGAACATCGCCGTCATGTTTGTCACGCTCGCGGTGTTCCACGCGCCGATGTCTTGGTTGAACGCGGACGCGCCAGCGAACATCGCCGTCATGTTTTTCACGCTCGCGGTGTTCCAGGCGGAGATATTCGCGTTGAAATCATCAAATTTATAGACATGCATAAACAGCCCCCCCATGTCGGTCACCGCGCTCACGTCCCAGTCCGCGATCGGGACGTTTGTCGACCCGTGCGTGCACGCGGTGTAGTTCCCGGTGCAAGAACTGCTGGAGGCATCGAGAGCAGTTTCGAGATCACTTTTAGTCGTAAAAACGCCGTCCGCGGCGTTCGCGCGTTCGGCGCCGAGCGCGAGCGCGCACGCGACGATCGCGACGATCGCGTGTGATCCACCCCGGCGTCGTGCGCGTCCTTCGTACGTCGCGCCCGCGTCGCCCCCGGCCCCGATCACGCGCGATACATCGTTCATATTCTCCGTCTCTTCGCGCGCTCGAACGCGCGCGCGGCGGTGTCGCGTCGTCCACGCGCGCGCCGCCGCCGAACGCGATCGACGCCCGGGGGGGGAATCAGGATCGACCGAGATCGACGCCGACCCGGTCGACGCCGTTCGCGCGTCACCTTTCGACACCTTTCGATGTGTGTCGCATTTCACGTTTCGAATCACCTTTGGACGCACGCGTCGATGTCCACGCGTGGGCGAACAGGACGCACTCGCGACGGTCTCCCACGGGCATCCCACGCGCGACGCCCGAGGTGCTCGACGTTCGACCGATGGGTGCTCGACGTCTCGTACGACGTGGTCCGCCGAGCGCCCACCCCTGATCTCTCGCGCGAGACGCCCCGAAACACTCGCAAGGTGCACCCGCAACTTTGCTCTTGCATCTTGCGGGTAAAATTTCCCCCACCCCTATCACACGCGGACCCTTTTCGACGCATCGCGTCGCGCCCGACGCCGCGCCCGACGCCCGGGCGCCCGACGCCCGGGCGCGGGCGACTTCGCGCGCGGTCGACGCCGGGACGCGTGACGGCGCGACCGTCGCGCGGTGCGCGGTGCGCGGACGGTGGTGTGGGATTCGGACGGTGGACATTCGGTCGGGCGCGATGACGACGGCGCGGCGACGGGCGCGGCTCGCGCGCGCGCTTCTGGGGACGTCGATGACGATGGCGCTCGTGACGTGGCTCTCGCGCGTGGGCGCGTGGGCGCGTTCGGAAGTGGGTGGGGGGTGGATGGCGGACGAACGCGCGGGGCGCGGATGGGACGGCGACGGCGACGGCGACGGCGACGAGCCGCGCGGACGCGCGGACGCGCGCGAGGGGGTGGAGTACGACGGTGCGGTGGTGCGGATGGGGTTCGAGACGGTGAGCGCGGGAGCGTGCGCGCGGGCGTGCGCGGAGACGAGAGGGTGTAACGTGTGGGTGCGGGCGAGAGACGCGGAGGCGGGCGCGTGTTGGTTGAAGCGCGTCGAACGCGCGAGCGATCGACCGAGGGTGATGAGCGAGGGAGTGCGTTGCGCGTGGACGAGCGGTCGGATCGATAAGGATTACGCTCGGGAGGCGCGGGAGATTTTGAAGGAGTCGGACGCCGCGGCGAGCGCGGACGCGGTGACGTTAACCGTCGCGGGCTTCGGAGACGTCGCGTTGACGTTAGAGCCGACCTGGCACGAACCGAGCGTGGAGTTCCTGCGCGCGCTCGCGTCGAATGCGAATTCTTGCGATGGATCGTGCGAAATTTATCGCGTAGAGCCGGGTTTCTTGGTGCAAGGGACGCTGCGGTCGTACGACGTCGCGTCCAACTCCGCTACCGAGCCTGGGCCGAGACTCATGGAACGCGGCGACGTGGGATGGGCGGGCGAAGGTCCGGGTCCCGATTGGTTCGTTTACCTCGGCGCGCGTCCCGCAGCGCACTTTGGAACGCGTCACACCGTGTTTGCGCGCGTCGCCGATGAGGCGTCCTTCTCCGTCCTTGAGCGCGTCGTCTCGGCGCCGAGCTCCACCCCGGGCGGCCCAAACACCATGCGATTCATCGACCAACGCCCAAAACTACAGGTGCGCTTCAAAACGCGGATCGCACCGAGCTAGCGCCTAGTATTGTACTACATTTTCACATTTGTTCAGAGAGTCTTCGTCGCTCTCTCGCGCGCAAACAGTCACTCGCGTTCCTCGCGCAATCTCGCGATCTCCTTATCCTTCCGCTCCACCTCCAACATAGCCGTGTTAAACAAGCAACTCATGTTCCGCTCCAAGTTTTCACACCGCGCGCGCAGGGCCTCACGCTCGCCCTCGCTCGCGCGAAGTTTTTCCTCCAACTCTGCAACTTTGACATTCATCCGCCCGATCGCCTCCCGCGTCGATCGTCCGTCGATCCCATCATCGCCCACCCTCGCGTCGTCGCCGTGCGCGTCGACTAAATCGTCGTACAGCGTCGCCGCGTCGTCGTCGCCGTCGACCATCGCGCGACGTCGCGCTCTGACGTTTCTCGCGAGAGAGACTACTGGACCAGTCATGACTCGATACAAATGTCACATGTCCCGAACGCGTCAAAACCTCCGTCGACGCGTCCGCACATCGACGCGCGCGCGCGATGCCGCGCGTCGACGCGGACATCGACGTGAAGCACCCCTTACAGGCGGTCGTCCTCGCCGATTCTTTCGGTCATGCGCTGAAACCGTTGACGTGTAACGTTGCGAAGGTTTTGTTGCCACTGGCTGGGTGTCCCATGCTCGAGTACAGTCTCGAGTGGTTGGCGACGCAGGGGGTCGAGGAGTGCGTCGTCGTCGCGTGTTCGTGCTCCGAAAGCGTCGAGCGATATTTGAAATCGCGTGACGGAAGGATCGGAGGTGGTGAAGGGCGAGGCGGGATGATCACGCAGTGCGTGAGCGGGACGGCGTGCGTGAGCGCTGGCGAGGCCCTGAGGTTGATCGAACAACGCAGGGTGATTCGAGGAGATTTTGTGTTGGTTTCAGGAGATGTCGTGACCAACGTCGATTTAAGTGATGCGTTGCGGACACATCGTGAGCGTAGGAAGAAGGAAAAGTTGGCCATCATGACAGTGCTGCTGCGAGAGACGGGAGCCGACGTACGAGAGGCGCGGTATGGGGAGAACAATTTGACCGTCGCGATGGATTCAGAGACGCAGAGGATCGTTCACTACGAGGAGCATCACGGGAGCGCATCAAGGACGCCGGCAACGTCGCTGGACGCGTCGTTGTTCGGGGAGGTTGAGAATATTCGGGTGCGGACGAACTTGATGGATTGTCACATCGACATTTGCGCGCCGGAGTTTCTGATGCTCTTTACCGATAACTTTGATTATCAGCACATTCGACGGGATTTCATCGTGGGCACTCTGAACGAGCGCGAACTTGGGAACACACTGTATGCGTATGAGATCTCGAAGGACGCGTATGCGGCGAGGGTGAGAAACTTGCGATCGTACGACGCTGTGTCGCGAGATATTCTGAATCGTTGGTCGTACCCATACGTTCCTGACACGCGAGTGGTTCCGGCTCATAATCCGGAGACGTACATTCATCAGTGGGGGAACAATTACCTGAGCCCCACATGCTCGGTGCACGAGACGGCGAAGATTGGACGACGGTGTCTCATCGGCGCGGGATCGAGCGTCGGCGCGGGATCGAGCGTCGTGCACAGTGTGATCGGGAAGAATGTCGTCATCGGTAATAACGTCAAGATTGAGGGTGCGTACGTGTTCGACGGCGCGCGTATCGGTGACGATGCGTCGGTGACCAGCTCCATCCTACAAGACGGTGTCGTCCTTCACGCGTATGCGTGTGTCTCCCCAGGATGCGTCCTAGCCTCTGGCGTAGTCATCGGAAGTGGATTCACAGTGAAACCGCACTCGCGAGTCGCCCTCGATGCGCAACCGGCGATCGAGGAGGAGGATTACGACTCGGATGATTCTGTGTCGTCCACGGATATGAACTTTGCCAGTCTCGAGCACGTACGAGACAAAGTCAAGGGTGAACACAGCGCAGAAGAGATCGAGAACGCGCTCAAGAAAGCTCGAGTGCGCACTGACGTAGACTCGAGCGCGATTTGGAATCCCTCTTCAGTTGGCTGCGGAGGCGCAGGTTATGCATGGGTGCCTCGTGACGAGCAGTGGTTCCGAAACATTGCCCCGACGCCGCCGCGCGAACTACACGATTACTCGTATGAGAGTGCAGAAGAAGCGTCAAAACGTGGATATGTCCAGAAAACGATAGATACGTCGATGATGGACGACTTGGAGAGCGAAGGCGACGAGGACACGAAGCGCGAAGGCGTGTTCCAACGCGAGGTGACGGAGACGTTTCTGCGCTGCGTCAAGCAAGGATACGCACAAGAGAACGCGGTCGTGGAACTTCAAGGCTTGAAGATGGCAGAGAACAGAACATTTGCAGACATTGCGCGATACGTGTTGATGACAATCGTCGGTTTGACCCTTCCCGCTCACGCCAAGACGTCTAAGGAGAACATAAAGTTGTATCCGGAAGCCACTCCGGCAAGCACTCCGGAGCTGCTCAAGCGTCTGCGCGCGCGCTTGAAGGAGTGGGCGCCACTCTTGTCTCGTTTCCTGCGAAGTGAAGACGATCAAGTTGAAGCTTTGCTCACGCTCGAGGAGTTCTGCTCCGAGGAAGACGTGTTCAAGGGCATGGGCGGCGCAGTATGCGTGCCGTCATTCGCAAAAATTCTCCACATGCTGTATGACATGGACGTCATCAGCGAAGAGAGCGTTCTCGCGTGGGCCGAAGAAAAAGCCGAGGCCGATGAGATGGATAAGAAGTTCTTAAAACTCGCGCAGCCGTTCGTGGATTGGCTCGAGCAATCTAGTGAAGAGGAGTCATCTAGTGACGACTAAGTGGTGCAAATGCAAAATGCAACTTCCTACACGCGTTCGCTTGCAGTGCCGTATTCCTAAAATCGTTCACGAACCGCGCCTCATTCCCAGCCAACCCTGCATCGATCGAACTCTTTGGGGACCGACTCGTCGAATTCCAAAGCCTCGAGGTATCGCACGTCGTCGGGCCATGGTACGGTCTTGACTGAGACTGACACTTTGACATCGTCGCCGCGGTTGCGACCCATCGGAGATCGCGAAGTGAAACGAGGCGTGAATTGACGTTTCGCATGACAAGCTTGTCTGTTTTACATGGCCCAGCTACGCGTCGCCAAAGATATCTAAAACCAAGGAGCCCACGTGGATTCCATGCGGGCGACATTTCTAATGTTGAGCGCGGCGTCGACGAGGTGCATGACGGCTTTTTGCACGCTTCGGACGGTGTCCGCGGCGGACGCGCCGGGCGGCGGGATGGGCGCGATAATGGACAACCGGCGAAGAACCTCTTGTACGTTGGAGAGCGCCATTGTGTTGATATCCGTCGGTGACGGATCGATAGGTGCAACGTTCGGTGCTGCACCCATGCGACGCCACGGCCATAAGATGAGCTGATCACGGAAGAAGAGCTCGAGATGGGCCTCCAGTTGCGACTCGGGCGCGCTGCATGCGTGCGCAGCCGAAGCCATGGAGGCGACGAAGTCTCCCTTGACGCCGAAGGGAGTGAAAAACGTGTGCAAGTTCCGCGTAAGGCGGAACGGCACAGGTTCAATATACTCAACGATTCCATTAGAGTCGAACGTGGGATGGAAATCGAGCATGAAGATGTTCCCCGTGTCTTTGGCGAAAGCAATCTTTTGAGGGGTTCGTCCACCAATGCGCAGGAGCGCTGAGAGCAAGCTCGACATCGCGAGCTGTTGTGAAAGCTGCCGCTTGAACGTCCAGAGGTGGGAGCTGTTCGGAAGAGTCTTGTACATGTACTGAGAGAAGATATTCTCGGTGACATGTTTTTGTGTAATCTCCATGAGAGCCTTGAGACGCAGCTCCAAGACGTCTTCCGCGCCCGTGACTTCACCGAGAATGGCGGGGTCGAGTGCAGCTTTGAAGAGTGTGATCGGAAGATCCGCTTCTCGACCGTAGCGCGCAAAGTTCGCGTCGTACACTTCTTGGTACGTGCCATGATTGTCGTCATCTTCCAAAAGGCGAACTTGCGGCCACACAGGAATGATAGCCGGGGTGTAGTAACACATGTTCCGGCGTCGCGTCTCCGCGTGCTTGGCAAAGACATCGTTGAGGTTGGTGAGAAACTGCAACATCCGTTCTTCTCCTCTCGCTGCGGGCGTCAGCGACGTTTGCACGATGAACTGTTTAATCGAGCCATCAGTGCCAAGGAACTCCAACCTACGGAAGCAGTTGCCGTTTCGTCGCACAATGTGCACGTCAGCTCCGATGCGGTTGAGCTTCATGAAGCGATCCGTGACACCGTATGAAATGTTGGCATACTGCCCTGGCACTTCGATTTCGTTGAACGTAACGTGCCGAAGGGCCATCGACTCGTCTTCAAGACGAAGCGACGCGGGTAAACTGTCCTCGACGTCGTTCATTAGCCGCTGTTTCCAACCCTTAAGCTTTGACATGAGTTCGGCAACGGTTTTGGGGAAAGTCTTCTGCTCCGGATTTAAATCGCGCTCGTAACTCGCTTTGTACTCTTTGACGAAGTCGGCATGTTTGACGGACGTGTCCGCACTGAAGCATGCTTGGTAGACGCCGATTAGCTCCTTTTTAAAGTTCTCTGGAACTTCACCCGTCGTTGCCGCAGGATACTTGTAACATCGATGCAACAGAGTGCACACGACGACAAGCAAGCGTTCCTCCGGTGTACAAGCGAACTGCGTTCCCAATTCGCTGAGCAGCACTTCAAGCTCACCAACAAGATTCGTGTTTCTGACGCGCAGTTGCTCCATGACCTCCTTCGCTGCTTCGAACGCGATCGTTGCCTCTTGCGCTCGCTGGGCGGCGGCTTGGATATCAGCGTATGATGCCTTCGCCTCGCTCTTACCCTTTTCGTCGTCTTTGGCCGCTAGTTTTCGAGCAGTTTGAGTTGCCCGGGCGGCTGCATCCCTACGTTCGAGTAGTGATGTTCTAAGTTGATAATAAAGCGCTTGCGGATAGGCAGCGACGATTTGCAGAAGAATCGACCTCGCGTACTGCGTTTCGTTGTGCCCAAGAGACAGAAGGAGTTGCGGAATCCACGGAATCCACACCCACTTGGGCAGATATTCGAGGTGTCGCATGATCGCTCCCCCGACTGCCGAGGTATTTGCATCGAACGCCAGCATGCGCACTACGTGGAGCAACTCGTGTCGGTTCTCTTGAACATTGTTTCTCACACCCTGGAGGAGGCACGTCGTCGCTTGCATCAGTCCCGTGCCTTCGTTTCGGTGCTTGCGCAAGAAGTGTCCCCAAGATATCCATCCTTCGGCAAGCTGTTTACACAACGTCACGGCCGTTGCGTACGACGTGTATGCGCCAGAATAGTCTTCCATTTGCTCTTGGAACTTGGCTCGAAGACGGAAGAGTTCTGCCTTTTGCGGCGGAGCAAAGAACTCCAAGCTTTGTGACTCAAGAAGGTTGAGACCGGTCACGGCTTCGTCTCCGAGTGAAAGATATGATTCACACTGCTCTCGAAGCTTCGAGAACGCCTCGGACACTTCAATTTGCCCTTGGTGACGGTTCAAGATGTTTAGCGCAACCTCGGGCAAGTTCTGCTTGCGCGCGGCATTCGCAAACTTATTCAAGCTCCACGCTCGCTCACGCTGGCCTAGTTGGTCAAGTTGCTGAGTGACCTGAAGCATCGCCGGGTTCTGTTCTCCGATTTGCTTCGCGGCATGAGTCATAATATTGTGCATGTTACCGCGCCACATCAGGATCTCGTTCCACCAAGGCATTTGATCCCATTCGTTCGGAGTTCGCAGACGCCAAGTTTCCATGATATCCTGAACGAGTGTGCGATTGTTTGCAAGACCTTGAGCGCCTCGGCGCTGAGTGTTTGATAGCTCAAGCAAAATGCGCGTTGATTCTTGCACTTCCGCAATGGCGTTGAAAACGTGCAGGGATGGGATGTGGCACGTGGATCCTGTCTCTGGAAGGCGCCACCAGCGATCGAGCGACGACTTCACGGCGTTTGCCCAGTGTTGCTCAGCCTCTCGCACACGTCCACTCACAAGTGACGCGAACGCGCGAACGGTCGTAATTTCAGGAGTTTCCTCCGTCTCGTTCAACGCCCCACTCGGAAGAAGTTCTTTGACACCGGCCCAATCAGACAATCGCCACATGCTCTGCACCATCAACTCACTGTGTTCGACGGTCCGGCTGAAGTCCGAGATGAGATCCCACTGATTTAGTTGCATGGCGGAGTTCAACCACTGCGTTTCCCAAAGGCACATCTCTGTCTTTGAGACGCCAGGAGCTTGTCCGGCCGTGGCAAGTTGGATGCCCTCGAAGAAAACCTCCTGAGCATTCTGCCAGTGCCCGTGCTGACTGAGAGAGAGACCTGCACGCGTCACGTCCGAGTGACAGCGTTGCATCCAGAGACCCGCCAGCACGTCTTGTTCGTTTAGCAAGCGGTATAGTTCACTCAACGCATCGAAGCATCTTGCCTCTTGCGGATAACGCACGACGTGATTTTCAAGCAACGCGATCGCAGTATGCCAGGCATTGAAAGTCTTCCCAAGAAATTTGGTGAGTTCGCTCGGTATCTTCAACTGCGGCTGAGAAAGCGAAATACCCTCGAGCAAGGCCTGAATTACGTTCGGGCGCACGGCCGCTTGGCGAAGGTGCGATTCCTTGCTGAGCAAACCAATCATCGGCTTCGCTAGCTGTAGCTGCTCTTCGCGCTGCAGCGTTGCCCACACGATCGGGAAGATCAAAACCCACAGGTAGTACGCAATGTGTGCATTGCGCGTCGCCACTTGGCGAAGAGGCGTCATCAAATCATTCACAGAAATGTTCGACTTTTCGTGCAAGAACTTCGCGTGCCTCTTAATAAGTTCATCAAGTTCAGGAGAGTTTGATTTTGCGTTCTTTGGTTTGGATGGAACCGGCAACGGATTCTTAGTCTCCAGATCGATCGGTAACAATGGAGAAATCAGCGCGCTGTTCGGGGCGAGCATGATTCGTTCGTCCTCTGCAAGCGTACTGAGGATCAAGTCTAAGCCTTGCATCAACCAGAACGTATCAGCCATCGCGTCCCAATCTTGAATGCACAAGATGTACTGCAGTCGTTGGAAGAGCGATTTTCCGATGACCTCATGATACAAGGAGAAGAATTTCTTTCGAAGCTCTGGACGACGAGTGCGCAACCCAAGAAGATGCAAGCGCTCAACCTTGAGGAATACTTCGCTTCTCAAAGCCGGTTCATGTTTGCCTTCTGCAGAGCACAGCTTGTAAGTAACGTTGAGAAGTTTCTCCTCCCACTCTTGCGTCTGGGTAATGGCAAGACCCATGCGCGTCAACTGTGCCAGCTTTGACAAGAACAAGACCGTCTCCTTCGCATTGAGACTACCAACTCGACTGTTGCGCTCATCATCCGACACTGCTTCTCCGAGGGTGGAATCATCCGCCCACGCGATCATGGCATCGAGAATGGCCATTAAGACGTTTCCGTGCGTCGACTTGTCATTAATGAGTTGCAACAACAATCGGAGGAAGATTTGCTTCTGCTCTGAACCGGCATTGATGACTCTCTTGGAAATGATGTCGATGCACATAACCATGCAGTTTGCAACGCTGCCATACTCTGGTTGAACGACCTCTGGCGGCGTTTGGCCGCGCTTTGGGTGGATGGGCTGAATGTCTCCAGCCGCCGACGCTTGGTTTAATTCGTGGGTGAGACGTGCGAGAACCTTCATCAATTTTGGCAAGTTTTCATCGATCATAGCTGTGCGCAAGGCACCTTCGGTTGCCATCACCTTCAGGGTACACGCGAGCGTTGTGCTGGCGTGCTCGGCATTCGGCAGACTTTTCGATACCGTAGCATCTGCAATTGCTCTTGTGTACACCCTATCGAGCTGATGTCGCAACTGAATCTCGCAGCTCTCCGGTTCGGTATTGTCCTTCGATTTGAAACGATCAAACGCCATACCGACCACTTCCGCAAGAAGTGAGTGCGCTCTTTCGCTCGTCGAACTGAGACAAGGTTCTATCAGACTAAGCGTCTGTTCGACATTCTCCGAAAAAAACTTGTAATCAGAAATTTTCATTGCTCTTCGAAGCACCGAAAGGCTCATCAACAGCGTAGACGTCGGGTCGCGGTTGGACTGGTTTGCCAAAGTCAAGAGCTTGTCAACGAACGTGAACTTGATGCGCGCAGACGGCCACATCTCCAAAGCAGTCGATAGAAGTTCGACCGTGCGCGTGTTGAGCTCCTTCGAATCCTGCTCTTTACCTTCGCACGTGATAAAAGTCATGCGGACGAGGAAATTGACTATGATTTCCTCCATGGCCGGTGACGGTTTGAAGCCCTCGTCAATGACACCAATCGACGGCATTGAATTGAGCGTTTCCGTTTCAGGCAAATCACTCATCATTTCGTCGGCGGTATCGTCGTCATCGTCATCCTTGGGAGCTTTCGACGAGCGCGACGCACGCGTGGACCTACCCGCGGACTTTGCTTCGCACTCTTCCTTCTTAGCCTTCTTGCTTGCTTTCTTTCCGCGCGGCGGCGGCGGCGATGCCTCTTCCTCCTTCTCAGGGCTTTGCTTAGCCTTTCGTTTACCGGGCTTCATCTGCTCGCTCGCCGTTCGCAATCCAGCGCCAGAAACACGGTCATTTTCCCAGTTGATGATCAGCTCGACCAAATCGACAGAGAGAGCTCGGTTGACGTGTGAGGAGCTCGTAGGCAAACCCAAACGAGAAAGCAAGTTGACCATCTGTGGCACAAACTGCGCTCGCGAGGAATAGAACAACTTCGCATGACGCACAATCAAGCTCCAAATGTGAACGATCTGCGGAAGAGAGTGCCCGCCTTCGATGAGACTCTTCTTCGTGTATCGAATCCAAATCGGATACTTGTGCTCACCCGGAGGAAGGCGCACCGGCAACGCTGGCGCGAGGGCATCCAACGCCTCAGTCACCAGAGCCTTCTGCTCCGGCTGGTACGCTCGAAGCAATGCCACAAACACTTGAAGTATGATCTTTTCCGGAGCTTGATACTGCTGTAAGAAGTAGCTGATGTTGACGAACGCCCATTGCTTGCTTGAGGAATCCTCGCGCTTCAAATGGTTCCAGCCAAACTTGATGAGCTCTTTGCGATGATCCACGAGGGTCTTGGGCACGTAGCGGATGAGAAGTGTGCTTAGCTGGAGCAACTGAATAAGGACGGACTCAGTGTACAGTGCATCGTTGCCTCCGTCAGACGGCTCAAATACATCCGTCACGAGCTCGCTCACAAAGTCATCCGTCACGATCTCGAGAAGTTTATCCGATGGTTCACCGTCATCATCACGTCCATCGGTGAGCGATTTCTCGAGCATGGGATTCACCATAACTTTCAGTGAGCACGTCACATGGTCAGGATTTGCATCTTCGATTGCTTCGAGTTGCTCGGCAAACTCCTTCAAGAATTGTTTAAGCACCGCGTTGCGTTCGGCAGGTGTGTACCTCTCTACCACCTCGTTCTTGACAAACTCGCGAACAAAAGTGAAGTCAACAGAACTACGTGTGCACAGCACCGAGATGATCTTGAACAATATCTCGACCTGCGAGTGATCGTTCTTTACGATGGAAAGGAAACACTTTGCGAGATATTTCGTTTCCATCATGGCCGGGAGTGAAACCTTGCTCTCGTCGCTCAGAGTTGCCGCCCTGTCATTGCTATCCCAGCACTCGTTGAGTTGCTTCAAAATTGCCTTCTCCTTAGGTAACCAATCAGGCTTGAGCTTTGCAATTGTCGCCAGAAGTTGCAACCCGTTGTAGTACGCGAGCTTTGTATCCTCAATCGGCTCGACGCCTTCAACCGCGATTTTATCAATCTCATCCATCTCGCCCTTTCCAGCGCCAAAGATGATGTGCAAGAGTTTTGATGAACTTGAAGTGATGGTTTTCAGGAGATCGGCAGCTTCGGGCAGCTTCAGTATGCTCACAAAGCGCGCAAAGTGTTCTGGCTGATCGAGGCGCGCCAAGAAGTATGCGACAGACTCTTTAGGATACCGGTTCAAAAACTTGGTGAGCGGCACAATAAACAGCGAGTGCGCGGAGCTGTAGACGCTCGCCGGAGGCATGGTTGACTCGATGACCATGATATCGCGCACCAGCGGTTTTATGAAATCAAACGGTAGCAGTCGCTTCTCGTTCGGTTTCAACTCATTTTTATCGCGCAATTTGGGCAACAAGTGAAATAAGTTGACGATGGCAGCAATCAACTTAGCATCTTTCGGAGACTTTCGCAGTTGACCAGGAACCGCGGGGGCGCTGAAATCCAGCTCTATCCAGTACTTGATGTGCTCGAGTAGTTTCTCACCTAGTGTTGGGCTAAACCACTCAGCGAGCAACTCAAGAAGATATTCAAGCGCTTCCAGCAACGGCACCGACAGCTTCGAGAGGTGCTGTAAATTCATCAAGATCGGACTCACCGACTGCTTGAGCGTGTTCTTGTTCATGTACGGTTTCACCTCAACCAAACCTTTCTTCGCGATTTCTACGATCACCTTGTTGCGAGACGTCAGACTCGTGAACAGCACGGTTGAGATACGCTCGCGGATCACCGTGAGCTCTTCAGCGGTATCTGCATCCGAAAACTCTGGGGCTTTGAGAGCACTACTAATGAGCTGGACGCATGACTGCCGAAGGGTGGACATTGCCTCGTTCTCTCTCGTCTCCACACTCATAATCGTTGGATCTTCAACTTCAGCGATCGTAAGCGCTTCATTGATGAATGCGCGAAGGTTATTTTCCCATTTGTCCCTGAAAGTGATTAAATGCGGCGACGCGTTCAGGCAGAAGTTTATCAACTTCACCGTTTGTATTTGGGAGAGCACGTGCCGCGTTAGCAAAGGTCTCTCAAACACCGTCATCAGCTTCTCATCAGTAATCGACAGCACGGTGTCCATAGGCGTTGATGTTCGCTCGGAAATACCCAAAAGCGCGCGTTCTATAGCCGCACGTGACGCACACGTACTCGACAAGTTGCACAACTCATCAACCAGCACACTCACCCCAGCGTCGACGCCAGTAGGTGCGTCATCGCCTCGAGGCGAAACTTCCGCCGGAATAAACTTTTCGACAAGTTGCAGGAACACTTGCTCGACTCGTTTCTTCTGTGCAGGTGCGTGGGCTGGAAGAAGTTGAATGGCGCGGATATTAGCGCTCAAAATATCCGGCAAGCGTCGTCGCCAAATGGACGTCGGCAACCGCTCGATCAACAAATTGAAACCTTCAACGCCACCTATGATGCTATGGGGTTCTCGTTTGTAGCAGCAGTGCACGAATCGAGGCAAGACTGCCTCGACTAAACTGGCCAATATAGGGTAAGGGCTCTCGTCATCGTGGATATCGGTCTTCTTCTTCGATTTGGACTTCGGTGTCCTCTGTTTCTCTAAGCTATCGTCAGCTGTTTGCAGCGACTGGAGTTCATCTCTGGACAGAATCAAAACTGCATCCAGGAAAGTGGCTAACGCCTTCACTGTGGCCGTCAGATAAATCTGCTTGGTAGACTCGAATGAGGTCATGAGCGCGTCCAAAAACAATGTAGTTTCCAGCACCTTTAAGTTGGTTGCGCGTGGTCGCTCGACCGAATCGTGATCCATATTGTCCGTATCTTCGCCGGGTGTGCAAGTAGCACTGTTCACAAACAGCAAAGCCACGTGCTCACACACATTGTCCATAAATTTCTCGTCAGTTTCCTTGAGTGATAAGTCACACTCAGCCGCTATGACGGTAACGACCAACCTCTTGAAGATATTCTGCTCAGCCACGAGCTGGCCCTTTGTCTTGTTGCCCAACTGAGGCGTCGCCTCGACGCCAGTCATCGCTTCACACTTCTTACCCCACCCATTCGATATGGCAGCCTCTAAGGCGCTCTCGATCTCTTCTACTGTTCCGTAAAGCGCACGCGCCGCACTCAAGTTCAAAATCGATACCAAGCACGTTCTGATGAAGGTGAGTGCTTGACGCCTGTGACGAACAAGCGCCTCTGAGGGCTTGACATTAGGAATCATCGGTGTAGTCAAAATATTCTGCATCAACACAATGCATCGATCCAACGGAACCAAAAACGACGTATCGGGCTTGAACATCAAAATCATGCGTAGACCGTGCTCAGGATTGCTCTTAGCGTCCAGCTTGAGAGGATTCTTCAGGAAGGCTCGATTCCTACCACCCAGTTTCCCAAGCAGTTGCATAGCCTTGGCACCGAACGGCGAACCACTCTGTTGCGGCTTTAGCATCGCCCAAAGCGCAAGCATTAACTCAGACTCCACTTCAGCGATGCATGGGTCGAGGAATTCAGGGTTGAGCGAGTCAACCCAGAACTCTAAAGTACGCAGGCCGAGTAGGTTCAGCTCATTCGCATGCGCGCGCAGCGCCCTGCACAAAGGCATGGCCAGTTTCGGTAGGTGCGGAAGAATGGAAGAAAGCCTCGCCGGTAAAATCAGGCACAGTTCGACGACAGTATCGTGCAGTTCGAGCGGATCTGGACCGTTCAACATCGCCAAGAGACAATCAAGTGTGGCCGGTAAAATCGGTACCACTTCCTGATACAACACGTCAAACTTGGCTTGAGCCATGGCTCTAAACAAGTATCGAAGCAATCTAACGTACGCAGACGGGTTATCGTTTTCTCTGATCGCCTTTAGACACGCGTCCATCATGAAAATCACATGTGTGCTCAGCACACTTTCGCAGTGACTATGCTTACTTATTGCGTGCAGAAGCAATGAAAACAGCTTGAGCACTAGCTGAGCCTCTTGCGAGGATTGATCGCGCAGACATTCCAGCTTCTTCTCCAACAAATAAGTCATCGCTGCGTCTGCAAAATATCTGCACAACTTTGTATTCTGTAGTAAGAGGTGAGGCACTTGGACCATTGTCGGGAGCTCTAACATGCCCGCGAAGAAGTCATCGAAATGCAAGCTCATCATGTCGACGAAATTCCTTGGCTCAAGGACCAACAATGCCTCCGAAAAATGCGTGCACATTTCCGTACACTCCGTCCCATTGAACAGCTGCATGCACTTGACTCCATTTCGAATGAATCCGGAAGCGCGCTTAATCTCTGATCGGTTGAGCCCGATGTCCACGGATTCAGATCCATTGAAGTTTGTAATGCTCCAAAGCAGCGTCTTCATACCAATCGTCAGAGTCTTTATGATTGCCTTATTGTCGGAAAGCGACCGAAGTTTCTCGTGACTGGGAAGATCGGGTTCAGGATCATCACTACTCTCCTTCTTCTCGCTAGCGCTCTTATTGGGAGTCTCGGTGGCGCCCGTCTCGGCGACACCATCAGCCTTTGCATCTTTTGATCTCTTCGACGCTTTCGCTTTGACGGCAGCTTCCAAGCCACTCGCCGTTTTCAACAACTCCGGGATGTTCGGGCGCAACGTCCTGAACTTTGCGACGGTCGCATACATGATGCGAACCAAAAATTCTCGAGCCTCCGTAGCTCGCGAAGCATCGGTGCGCATACGGAAGACGGACTCCACCAAGTGATGCATCAGTCGTACACAGGTCATGTGCGTCGACAATGGCAACGTTTCGTCTTGCATGTTACGGCTGAAAATGTGAATCGCCCGACGAATTTGTTCCAGGGTGAGTTCGGCCTTCATGTGATGCACGAGTTCCGCAAGGAAAGAGTACGCTAGAGGTCGCAAGTTCTCGATGCACATCCGCCCGGTACCTACGAGAACGTCCTCGTCCATCATCAAATCAAGATGCTGAAAGAACCCCTTGCACAGTGGAGGCGAGCTAAGGACGTGACGAGTGGCGATGAGTAACTCCTTGCGAGTCGCCACCACGTCCGGGCACGTCCTCAGCAAAGAAACAATTGCGTTGGAAATCTCTTCGTGATGCGGCTCGACGAAAACGGAGTTTCCTCGAAGGAGAAATGTGATGAAGCCGATCGTTTTCACCTGAGCCGATTTCAGGTCGCTCGAAAACTCACGCTGCCCTGCTGACATGGAATCAATATCGATCGTTTGCAGCCCGGTGAACTTGACCATGAGCGGTATCATTTTCTCCACTTCCTGTTGAATGAACTTGTCTCGATTGTACAACTGGTACACCAGCATCACGATAAGAGGACACTCCATCATGACCTTGAAGGACTTATGGCTCGGAAGCTCGCACGGCGCCGGGAGCTTTTCTTCTGACTTGCCGCGCTTGCGAGTCGAGCCGCTCGAACCCAAAAGCTCATCAATGGTGACCCCTGATCCTTCGTAAACGTCGTGTACGAAACGTATAAACGGCTCTACCCTCTTATCCATCGTCGGTCGAAAGTTTCGATGCAAATCGAAGATGACCCTCAGGCACAGCAGCGCATTCTTCTCGTTTTCTTCGCGCAATGACTCCAGCGCCAGGTCCAGGAGCTCCGACTCGTACGGCCGCAACACCTCGTTAAACGGCAATCTGTTCAAAATTTCGTACACTACGTGGCGTAACGCGTTCATCTCGTTGTCCTCCATTGTAGGTGACGTGTGTTTCGTCAGGATTTCCTTGAAGGCTGGGAAACAACTCTTCAGAAAGTTGACGTACTCACTCGTGTGCACGATTTCTATTCCGTCTCGAACGCTCGTTGCCACCTCCAATCGCATCGACGTCGTCGCTGACTTACTCATCAATCTTTCAGCTTGCTGCTCATACGTCGACAACCCCATCTCGATCGATGTGCGTCGACTCAGAGTGAGTCACCACTCCTGGAAAGGTAATTTCCCCAGAGGTAGGGCTGATCTTCAATTCGAACCCGAATGCGTCGCGACTTCGAGGTCGCACTCGCGTTTACACGACTGAAACCCGCCCTGGAGCGTCGACACGTGCGTCTTCTACGCCAACTCGCGGTCGCCGGTCGCGTCGGCGACGAGCGCGGCGCTCTGGAGTGGGCGATCTGTCGCGCAATTGTGTTCGTGAATCGTGGGTTTAGGGGAACCGGCCGATGAAAGTCGCGCGCCCGCGCGACGGGTCGCCACGCGCAACGTTTGGATTTCGAGGAAATTTGTGTAAGTCGATAGAGTATATACAGTCAGGTATGTTACAGACATCTAGTCGAGCCACTTGAAACTCATGAGAACCCCGGCGCACGATATTTTGTCGTGAATGAACTCGTCGTCACGGTTGAGCATGGGAACGATGCGCACGCCTTCTCGCAATTTGCTGATCGGGAAATCATAGTGCGCCAAGAGCTCATCTCCATTTCCGTCTTTGTCCAGTGCCTGTATTTGCATCAATGCCAACTCAGGCTCGAAGATTGCGAGCTCAAACGTGTCGTTCCACACTGGTTGAGCTTCCGGACCAGCTCTCGCCTTTGAGTACACGCTCGTTCGATTCGATTTTCCTGGCTTTGTTCTATCAGCCAAGCACCCGAGCGTCGTGATTCTGATCAAGGAATCCGGCGGCGAAAATCTGTCGGCATCCTTGAAGTTGTCCCAACCGATTCCCGCGAACACTTTCACCTGTAACCTTCTCGGCTTTGACGGACGCTCGATCGTGGGATCTAGCAAATACGCTGGTTTCTTCACGTAGCCGCAGTTGCCGTTGACGCGGAATTTTGCTCTGTTTGCCCACACGTACCGATCCAGTGCTTGAAAGTTCAAAGCGACGAAGGAAGCGCCCACGTCCCACGCCTCGCTTGGGTCGTAGTTATTGCTGAAGATTCTGTGACCGGCTGGGTATGTGCGCAACAAGTGCGCGTTGGTGAATTCGATTATATCCTTTGAACTTTCCTTCTCGATCTTCAGCTTCAGTTTCCTCTCGCTCCAACTACACGAGAACCTCGGGACATCCCTTGCCTCGTGAAAGCTGCGGAACTTCACGTTCGGTACGGATACGATTCTCTTGAGATCCTCATCGTCTTGCTCACCTTCGCTATCGCTCGAGCTAGAACTCACAGCGCCTTCGTCGAATACGCCGGTGCTAGACCGCGGAAACTCGATAATCGACTGCATCGCGCAAACCTTGTCATTCTTTCGCACATTCAAAGACTTGGGCAAGACCTTTCGTTGCTTCGATTGCTTCTTTGTGCCGCACAAGCCACACAAGCCGCGTCTCTGATCACGTCTCCTCTGAAGCTCGTCTTGCTTGTGCTTGATTTTATCCCGAACGATCACGCGGCCCTTCAACTCGAGCGGTGAGGGCCAACGTTTCAACTGGTTCCCCGCCACTGCGCTCTTTGGCGCCCAAAGCTTGTCTCCGAGCGTGCTGCGCAGAATGCGCGACATCTCCGCGCGCGTCTCCTTACTCGCGTGATTCTCAAGCGTCACGATCACCGGATACTCGCTCGCCACGTGCGCACGCTCGGCTATCACCTTAATCGCGTCCTCAAAATACATCGGTCGCACCGCCGTCCCCCCGTGCGTCACGATAGGTCTCGGCTTATCGCCTCGCTTCTTTCCGTCGTACACGTCGAGCTCAATCACTCGACACCCCCGATCGAGCGCTCCCGCGATCGCCGCGACCGACGCCCTGGAAAACAACTGATCGCCATCCAAATACGTATTGTGGCTCGAGTTCACGAAGTACGCCGACATCTCGGACGTCATCTCGCTCTCATCCGTCTCTGTCGGCGCGAATGGAAAGTTCCCCTCGTCCAGCGCGCCGCTTCGTCTCAAGACGTCCACCGCCCGCACCATCCCCGACTCCGTCGTCTCACACTGCGATAATATCCTCTCAATCGCGTTCGCATCCAACCCACGAGCCCTTTCCAACCACATCGCGCACACGTCGCCCGCGCATTCCCCGGAGACCCCGCGTCCATCGTCATTCGCATTCGCGTCCGAGCCATCGATGAACACCGCGCGCGCGTCGAACTCGGGGTTAAAACTCGCGCGCGAGAGATCCCATCCGTGCTCCGCCGTCCCTCGAGCGGTCTCGCACGCGACGCACGCGAGGCCCATGGCGAGCGGTGCGGGCGCGCGCGGTGGCGTCGCGTCGTCGCGCGTACGGTCCGCGTGTGACGCGTCGTGCGTCTCACCGTCGCGGCCCCACGGCCGCGATCGGGACGACGCGCGACGGCAGAACGCGTCGCCGTGCGCGCGCGCGCGGTGGACGCTCGGTCGAGGGACGTCGACGGCGACGCGTCGCGCGCCGGGGCGGCACACGGCGCGCTGGAGGGGCGACCGCGAGGGGGCGTGGATGAGGTCGATCGGTTCGATGGGTGCGGTTTCGGGCGCGTGCGCGACGCCGTGGGCGACGCGGCGGGCGGTGGTGCGACGACGCGCGCGGGTTGGACGATGGAGGGGGGTCGTGCGCGCGTCTTTGGGCGTGTTGGCGGCGAATGAGGACTGTGGACGGTTTACGCTGAGGAATTGCGGCGACGGGTCGCAGTCGCACCTGGACGCGCCGGTGCCGGCGCCGGGTGATCTGGAGATCGTCGCGGTGAAGAGCGTGATCGGGAGAGTGCAGAGTGAGGCGGTGAATCTTGCGATCGGGGTGCCCACGGTGAGCGGGGCGCACGCGATGATTGACCTGGTGAACGGGAAGGTGATGGTGACAGATTTGACGTCGACAAACGGGACGTTCATCGATGGAGAGGAGCTGTTACCAGGCGTCCCGACGCAACTCATGGTGGGGGGTGAGGTGATATTCGGCGATGAATTTCTCGCTCGATACGAATTAGTCGAGACGTTGGACGAAGAGTCAGAGTGACTTTTAAAGTCGATTTTTCGCTCTCGAGATTCTCGCGAACAAACGTGAACGCAACGCGCGGCGCGCATATTTTGTAATAGCATCGCGTGCATTTCTGTAATATGTAATGTCATCGCGTGATCGGCTGCGGGCGCGTCTGAACGATTACGATGTCGTCTCCGCACACGCCGCCCTCGACGTCTTGCGCGCACCCGAGATCGAGTTCGAGCTCTGTCGCGATGCTTAACAGGCTCGCCGCCAGACGCGTTCTCGCCTCCTCACTCGTGCTGAGCTCTTGTCGACTGTAGTCTACTGCCTCGTTCGTCACCTTTCCGTGCGTTGGAGCGCCGTAGCGACATCTCATTGACGTCGAATGATTGGCGTACGCGAGAACATCGACAGCACCAGTTGAGCGGTCGATTTCAAAGCGCCATGGTGTGCCATCGACGCCGCTCGCGAGGGTGTCGCCGAGACCTACGCAAAGCTCGGCTTGAACTGACTTTGCGCCGCGAATCGGGCTTTGCGTGTGCAGCACGAAGGAAACTGCGTTCGGCGACAACTCTTGCACCAATACAGCCATGCGCGCCTCCGATTGAGGCACGCCGGCGGCGCGTCTCGCGAGAACCGCTCGACGCGAGTAAAGCGACGCCCACACCTCTGCGATTGCGAGTCGCACACCCTTGACGTCGTTCGCGTCGATACCGATGACGCTCTCGTACAAACCTGCCGCGGACATGCCGCTCAAATCTTCCACGTTAGCACTCGAACGAACGACGAGGCGCGCGTTTTGGTCTAGCGTCGCACACGCCTCTTCCACGACATCTTCGTCCGGAATATTCGCTGCAATAAATGTTTGCATCATCAAACACGCATCATCGATCTCACTCGGCGTCTTCGAGCTCTCGAGCGTAGTGAGAAGCTCATCAAATCGACTCGAGTCTCTCATCGAAGCCTCCATCGAGCCGAAAGGAAGCACAAAACCACTCGGCGCCTTGAATGTACCAGTCTCGCTCGAAATCTTCGTGAGTCGGCTACACATCGTTGCTTTGGCACCAGCGTTCGAAGTCGATGCCTCTTGCAGAGGTAACCACTTGATGTGGTCAACCATTTCACACACGGTCGGCGAAACCGCAGCGTGAGAAAGATCTTCACCAGTCTCATGCGAGTCGCGCGTTCTATCAAAATCTCTCAGTTCCGTCCTCAGTGCGTCGACGCGTATGATGGTGTCATTTCCTTCGCGGTCGCCCACTTTCGTCCGCGCTTCTACGCTCAATGCGCTCACGAGAGGAATTCCCTCTTGTCTAGCTCGAATGGCGAGATGGGACAAATGCGCCAGCTCTCGCGATAAAATCACCCCCTTCACATTCTTCCCCGCCGACGAAATCTCCTCGTCACCGTCAATTTCATCCACAAAAGCTATGATATCCGCTTCGCCGCAAGCTTGTACCGATTCTGGATTCAGTCGATTCAAAAGAACGAGCCTGCCCCTCGCAGACCCAAGAACGATTGGATCAAAACCATCGCCGTCGATATCGCGTTCCACACCTTCAGAAAGCATCTCTATCGTTCGAGACAACTGGAAAGGCACACCCGCTCGAACAATTGATTCCACGAACGTCGCTCCTATGTGCGCGTCAAACCCAAATGCCGAAGCGAGTTGCGTGGGAGAATCACCAAATCCACTCATGATGGCGTGCGTGTGCGAATCGATGAGTCTCTTAGCACGCTGTAACGACGCCTTGAGTCTGATCGCCGAATCCTTGTCGCCACTCGCGTGAGAGTCACACCATGCAACAAGCTCTCGTGCAAGGATACCCGCCTCGAGCGATTTCCATCCAGAGAGAGAAATGTGTTTCAGCGCGAATGCAGAGACGTTCGCAGCCAAACGCCAAGCGTTCTCGCCCTCAACTCCTAGAGCGCTCTGTTCCTCCATGAGGTTATTGCATCGCGAGAGCAAAACGAACGCGTACTCTTCCATCGCGAGTTCTGCCTGTCTCCAAACTTGTCGCTGGCGAACTGATTCGTCCGGCGCGTCGTTTCGCAAGCCGGTGCTGAGACCGGCGCAAAAGAAGGTTCTGAGCGTTGTTGTCACCTCGAGCGCGCGTCGAAGTGCATCACCCTCCTCCCCGAACCAACCACCTTCCGTGGACTCATGTAATCGTCTCTGTGCGGCGCCGAGATCGTCTATGAGTGCCTCTGTGTCCGCGTCCAAAGTACCCTTAAGCTGTTCCAATCGCTCAAACACGTTGCTCGCGTTGAAAAACCTTTTGAGCTCCCTGTGAAACTCCTTGAACTCACGAACGAAATCTTTCGAGTACTCGCCATCGCGCGCGGTGATTCGTTCGAGCACGACTTCGGTGGTGATCAAATCTTCCGGACCAGCGTTACGATGCAGTTTGTTCTGAATCGTGTGCTTGATGGTCTTCTTCAACTCGTCCGGAATGTCGTTTCTGTGCGCAATGTCCCGGATCCGAGTGAGGGGCACAGAACTGGTAAACTCGGCGTCGAAGGACGGGAGCCACGGATGAATGTGGCGCATGACCGCGCGCTCGACCTCACCCAGGTTCGTGCCGTGGCGATACATTGCACCCTGTATTTGCTCAAGACTGATAAATATCCCGCGTCCCACCATAGCAGGACCGTTTGGACGTCTGTGCCCGCCGCTCTCCACACATAAGATCGTTCCCGTACTGATCCAGCGTAAATATGTGGCGCACACTGCGAGCTTTTCTCGCGTTATCTCTCGTCCGATACCGATTTGATTCGCCACCGCCGCAAGCTTCTCGAACCACGACCCACCGTTCTCATCGGCAAACACGATCGCTCGTGCTGCGCCCGTCTCCTCCAAACCGCTCACGTCCCACTGCATCTTCGACGGACGCTCGTCCGAGTGCTCGTTTGCAGTCATCATTCGCACGTTGCCACCCACCCACTTATCTCTTGCGTTCGCCTCCATCCACGTCCCGGTCGCCGCCGCCTCCGCGCCGTCCACATCACCGTCCACCGCCCTTACTTCCGCCTCGACCGACGTCCCGTTTGCACTCGTGACCTCAAACGCCCCGTTCCCGAACGCTCCTTTCACTTCAAACGCCCCAACGCGTTCGATTTCAATCACTCTGTTATCTCCACCTTCCCACTCGACGCCGCCGCTTGCTCGACGCGTCGCGCACTTAAACGCCACCGATTGCGTCGCCGCATCCACCGTCACCGCGCCACGCCACACGTCATCATCGTTCCACGTCAATGCAACCGCATTGTCGGGTGACCAAGCCCCGAGAGAGGCGTGGTCGCCGACGACGAGCAAGGAATCACCGTATGACAATTTCGCTCGCAGGGTGAAATTGATTGTGATTACGTCGCCTCGTGCGTCGTTCGCGGACGCATCGACGCGCGTGACGCGATGGAGTTTGTGGTTGACATTAAAGCGTTGGCGCTCAGCGCGTTCGGGCGCGAACGCGCGCGTTTGGGTGAGACGCGTCGACATCTGCTGCACGAGTTCCGCGCCGGTTAGGTGTGGGTGGTGCGAAAATATCAACAACAACGTCCGGAATCAATACTAGGCGAGCGTATACACGCCCGAGATCGGTCTCGATGACCTCGGGTGAAAGCATGTGCGATGCGACTCATTTATTTGTCGGTGCGGCCTCCTTGGCGCGCGTGTTCACAAAGTAAATGCCAACCAGAGTCACTGCGGCTCCTACGAGCTGCGGGCCGCTGAGCGTCTCTTCCAAGGTGACGTATCCGAGTGCTGAGGCGAACATCGGGGTCAAGAACGTCAGTGAACTGAGCTTAGTGAGAGAGCCCTTGGTGGCGAAGTAAAAGAAGGCGCCGTAAGCGATGGCGCCGCCGAACACGGAGGCGTACGTGAGCGAAGCGACGTCTCCGCCAGTCAAGGACATGTTTGCGTACATCTCCTGTTCGCTCGCGAGCGAGTATGCGAGGAGCGGAAGGCCTCCGAGCGCCATGTGCCACCCAGTGGCCATGACGGGATCGACGTATTTGCATACCCATCGCACCATGACGGTTCCGATTGCCATCGACTGTGCCGCGAGGAGCATCCAAAACTCTCCGTTATCCCAAAGCGAATCCTGAATGTGAAGTGTCGACGCTAAACCAGCCACACCGCCGCCGTTCATCACCGAACCTAGCGCCTCTTCCGGGAGCTCGAGCAACACCAAACCTAAAACCCCGAGAACGAGCCCGAGAACACCCTCCGCGCCGAGCGTCTCGCCGAAGAGAATCGACGCCAAAATAGCAACCGTGAGCGGCTGCGAATCAATTATCACCGATCCTAATCCAGCGCTCGTGCGCGTCAACCCTTCCGCGAGGAACCCCTGGAACATGGTCGCGTCGACGAGCGCAAAGGCGGCGATGGCTGACCACGCCTCGGCTGTCTTCGGCATCGGCCGACCTTTACTCACCGCCCACGCGACCAAAATCAACCCCGCCGGAATCAACCGCACCGACGCGACGAACATGGGTGACGTCACGGGTAACACTTCTTTCATCGCCACCATGGACGTCCCCCACAGGAAGAACGGAGAGACGAGCGCGAGATTCTTCGCCGCGTCGAACGCGCGCGCTTCGTCGCCCGCCGCCTCCGCCTCCAACTCCACCTCTCCCGCGTCCACCGTCCCCGACACATCGCACGACGCCTCCATCCCGACCCCAACGCACTCAATATCCCGCGCCGACGTCGACACGCCCTCCGAGATCACGCGTTCCGCCCCCGTCGAGGACGCGACGCGCTCGAGCGCGTCCCGCGCCGTTCGCCCCGCCCTCTCCACCGACCCAACCTCTCCGTCCACCGACCCCACCCGCGCGCTCGACCCCCATGTTCCCCGCGCGCGCGTCGGCACCACCCATCGCCCGCCCGCGCCGGCGGTCGTCCACCGCGTCCGCACCGTCGTCGGCGTCGACGACGTCATCCGCGTCCGCATCGCACCGACGCCCGTACCACCGAGCCCACGGGGGAGGGGCCACGGCGTCGAGGCGCCACCGCGTCGACGCGCGCCGCACCGCGCGCGTCGACGCGGCGCGTCGTCGTCCGGCGCGCGCGTCGACGCGCGCGCGTGGAGGGCGCGACAGGACGCGCCACGTGTTCGTAGTGTGGCCTGTATAGGCCCGTGTGCACGTACACGCCCACGCCGGCCGTGCCTCGCGGATCGTGGACCCCCATAGTCATGGGTCGTGACTCGCGGGGTCGTGGACCCTCATAGTCATGGGTCGTGACTCGCGGGGTCGTGGACCCCCATGACCATGGGTCGTGACTCGCGGGGTCTTGGACCCCCATGACCATGGGTCGTCCCTCGAGAAACCACCCCGAGTGATGACTCTAAACCTAATTCTCTGCATCACGTCTCGCGCGAGACCCCGGCGCGAGGCTTGGACGAGCGCCCCTCGGTCGAGCGCGCGCGGACGAGGTGCGCGGAGTCTCTCGAGCGCGCGCGCGCGCGATGCGCGCGCGCGACGTCGCGCGTGCGCGGGTGACGCGGCGGGGATGGAGGTCCACGTCGGTGATTCGTGGAGCGGCATTTCGGGCGCGCGGACACGTCGACGCGGGCGGCGACGCGCGCGCGATTGGGGGGGGGACTGACGCGCGGACGACGACGCGGTGCGCGCAGGGAACGATCGAGGCGAGCGAGATGGTCGAGGGAAAGGTGCGAGGAGGACGAACGAGAGGGGCGGGAAACGCCTCGAAATTTGCGACGTCGTGAGCTAACGGCTAGAATTGGAATTGGCGAGTCGTGACTGGTGAAACGAGGGACTGACGATTTAAACCGCTCCTTCGCGCGCGCAGTTGGATGGTGAAATACTGCCGGCGCCGCCGAAGCGGGCGTTGACGGCGTACTTGATCTTCTGTCAGCGTCATCGAGAGAGAATCATGCGGGAGATTCAGCCGGATCCGTCATCAAAGTTTACAAAGGATCAGATGCAGCAGGTGACGACGCGTCTCGCGGGACTGTGGAATAACATCTCGCCGAAGGAGCTGAAGGAAGTGCAGGGACAGGCGGCGAAGTGCAAGGCAGAGTATGAGGCTCAAAAGGCGCAGTTTTCGCCGGCGATGTTAAAAAAGATCGCTCGAATGAGAAACAAGCCGAAGGGACACATCGTCGTTCCGGCGCAAGGCGAAAAGCCGGTTCGAGCGAAGACGGCTTACTTGATCTTCTGCAGTAGGCACCGCAAGGACATCATGAGGCAGATTCACAAGGATCCGCTCGCAAAATTCACGCGTGCTGAGATGCAGCAAGTGACGACGACTCTGGCAGACATGTGGAACAAGATCTCTCCCTCAGAGCTCGCGAGTTGTAGGGAGGAGGCGAAAGTTGAGCTCGAGAAGTACAGAGCCCTCAAGGCTGAGTATCGCGCTCCGGTTTACGGGCCGGCGAAGAAGCCGAAGGTGAACGTCAAGGGCGAAACAAAGCCGAAGAAGGCTCCGACCGCGTACCTTGTGTTCGCCGAGGAAGAACGCCAACGAATTAAGTTGGCAGAGCCGGAACTCAAGCACGACGAGATTTCTCAACGGCTTTCGCGAACTTGGAAAGCCATCGACGAGAACGAAAAGAGGAGGTACCAAGCTCGCGCCGAAGAACAAAAGCAAAATCTCGAGCGGCAAAGCATACTTCCTTCCAACAGCTTGGCGGGCGAGCACTTGCCAATGATGAGTATGGCATCGTACGACATTGACCCCAGAGCAATCTAGTGCTTTCTTGATCGACTCTGCACGGCGACCGTCGCACTCGAACGGTGCGGTCTCGACTTTAACAAGCTTTTGTAATAAGGCCCGATATCACCATATACTTGAGATTATGTTTTCTAACGATCCGTTGAATGAACAAATGTGCGCTAAATTGCTACGATTCGAGCAAACGAAGTGCGCGTGCCTCGAGTGATTCCAGATTGGTCGACGCCATGCCAGCGACGGCAGGATCGATCACGTTTCTCTTACGAGGTACCTCGCGCGGCTCTTCGGATTCGGATTCGTACTCGGACTCCGAGCCTCCTCCCAGGGTGGCCACGGCGCCTTCTGCCTCGTCCTCGGCGTTCTTAAGCTTTTGCTTTTTGCGCTGTCTGCTCTCTCGAAGGCGCGCCTTCTCGCGACCCTTGTCGACTCTGTCGGCCTCTTTCCGCTCAGCGGCGACCTCTGCGTATCGTGCTTTGACAGCCGCTCGCAGGTTCTCGCCCGGAGCGCTCACGTCTTCGACACCACTCTTCACTCCGAGCGCCGCAAGCGGTGCCATTGTGGTACCGTCTTCGTCGAACACAAAGCGCTTGTTCGCGCCATGCCCGCCATCCTTTATCTTAAGTTTACCCTTGAGAGCACGCTTACGCGCGATGTCCGCAGCCTTCGAGTCGGCGTCATACTTCTTCTCGTCTTCGGAGTCGCTATCTCCGAGGGCGTGATCAGCACGTTTCACGTTGAGGAAATCATCATCGTCATCGTCGCCTTGCTCAACGACGAGGCCGAACCTGCCACCGCCTCTGCGTTGAATGACGCCCTCCTTTGGTCGTACCGGCGCGTCTTCGTCATCTTCATCCTCCTCGGAATAGTCATCTTCGTCGTCGTCAGAATCGTCGTCGTCGTCGGAATCGTCGTCAGAGGACTCGTTGTCGTCGTCATGTTCCATCTCATCACGACCAGCCGGGTTGACGTCGTCTTCGTCATCTTCATCGTCCTCGGACGAGCCCTCTTCGCCGCCCTCGGTTTTGCCTTGCTGCAAGAATCGCAATCGCGGGGCGTTAGGTAACCCCATGGAAAACGAGTAAGTGTCGACATCGATGGATTTGACGTCGAAAACTTTTTTGTTCTTCTGCAGATGGACAGAACGCAGGTAGCAAACCACAGCACGCTGCGCCAAGTACTTCAGATCCGAATCCTTCGAGAGTAGTCCTTGCATAGAGCTCTGAATACGAGACGACTGCTTCTTGGGGTTTATTTTGATCGGTTTCAGCGGTACCTTTGCCTGCTCGAGCTCCTTCACGAAGTGAGACTCGCCGGGAGTGAGCATCAGCAAACCTTTTCCGGCGGCGGTGTATCTAGCCGTTCTCCCCACGCGGTGAATGTACGTCGCGACATCCTCCGGGCAATCCGCCTGGACGACCCAGTCCACAGCTGGAAAGTCTAATCCGCGACTGGCGACATCGGTGGCGAACAACACTGTCTCCTTGGAGTTGCAAAAGTTGTAAAATACGCCTTGCCGTCGAGCCTGTTTCAAGCGTCCATGAATGCACTGCAGCGGTACCCCGGGTCGCATGCGCTTGAAAATCTCGTACACGAATTTCACCTGCTTGCAACTGGAAAAGAACACAAGCGTCTTCGCGTTCAAGTGCGTGCGGATGAACGACCAAAGCACCTCAATCTTCTTCTCCAAGGCGCACGTGGTGTACATTTGCTGTAACTTTGGCGGCGTCGCGTGCACGCTCTCCGCGTGCACAGAGAGGTACTCGGGATCCTTCAACCCAAGACGCGCTAGGTCCTTTACGCTCTTCGTCTGCGTTGCACTGAACAAAAGTGTCTGCCGTTTCTTAGGGAGATTCTCTATGATCGCGTTCAGCGTCTTCGCGAAACCTAAATCCAACATGCGATCCGCCTCGTCCAGGACCAACATTTGCAACCCGACGCAATCAAACAGCGGCGTCTCGTCCATGTGCTGCAGCAATCTCCCCGGCGTGCACACCAAGATATTCATCTTATTTACCCTGTTCGCCTCCTCACTCACGTCCTTACCACCGATCAACAACCCGGCCGACATGCTGTGTCTCGCCCCGACGCGCGTCAAACACTGAAAAATCTGAATCGCCAGCTCCCGCGTCGGCGATATCACGATCCCTCCCACGCCGTCCTGCCGCCCCCACTTCTTCCGCCACAGCAACTCTACCAAAGGTATCACGTACGCGAGCGTCTTCCCCGACCCCGTCTTCGCCGCCCCCAACACGTCCCGTCCGCACAAAGCGTGCGGAAGCGTCGCACGCTGTATCGCCGTCATCTCCTTAAACTTACACTCCTTCAACGCCGATTTCGTCGATGACGACAGCGGTAGATGGATGAATTTACGAACGCCCGTGAGTGACATCTCGTTTGCGCCATCGCTGCTCTTCCGCGGCGTCACCGCGAGCGGATTCTCACCGGGCTTTGGTTTCGTCTCTTCTATGATTTCTTCGAGTTCGGTAATCTCTAGGTCAACGCGCGCGCTCGCTGTGAGACGCTTGGACGTCTTCGCCTTGCGCTTATCTTTGTTTGGCTTCCCGGGAGGCGCCATGACGCGCGGGGGCGCGAGCGCGCGAGAAAAGGGCGCGGGGAGCGACGGAAAGTGAGTGGCGGCGGCGGCGGTTGATCGAGCATTGGCACTTTTCGCCTCGGCGAGCTCCGCGGACGTCGTGGGCGCGTTCGGGAAGGTGACGGCGCGCGAAAGCGTTCGTGGTGGTGAAATACATTTTGTTTCACAGCGTGCGCGCGATCTCGCGAGGCGTGGGCTAGACGGACGCGGCGTCGACTTGGAGTTTTTCTGGAAGTCGATGCTCGGGCGACGGACAGGAGAGCGCCTCGTCCTCCTTGATGGTGACCTCGTGCAAGGAGTGTCGGTAGCGGTAGCGCACGCGTAGGTACTTTTTCTCGCCCGGGCACGGATCACAGAACCCCAAGAGGTCGTCCATCGCGACGTTTTCGTACAGGTCGAGCGTATCGCTGTCCACCATGAATTGGAGCGCGCGAGAGACTTCGACGTACGGCGGAGGGAGACCCGACGTAGACGGTCGACTCGCGGTCGACTCGTCGGACGTGGTCGACGCATCATTGGCGTTGAAGTTCTCTGGCGGTGCCCAGGGACGGAAATTAGGAACGATGGGCGCCCCCTTCACAGTATTCGGTCGCGGATCGAAACAGCCGAAGACGGCTGACTCGATGACCAAACCGCCGCGCTCTCTCGCCGTCCGTGCCTTCTTGTCAGTCGCCGCTGCGATAACCTTCATCGACTCATACGCTTCTCGCATTGCCGCCGCAACGGCTCGCTTATTCTTCTCTCTCGAAGCGAGCTGTCTCTTTCGCACGTAACTATTGACTATCGGTCGCACCAAGAAATGGCGCAACAACGCAATGGTGATAGGTGGCAACGTGAACGCCAATAGGGACTTCCGCCACGTCACCATCGGGGTCAATAACACCGGCACCACGAAGCGCTGACCCTGTCTGTTGAGCTTGAGTCTCAGCATGAGGCCTCTGAGACTGACGGAGACGCTGGCGCCCAGCGCGGTGTCTTCGTCGACTTGTTTCGTCGCGCCGACGTCCAATTCCGCCCCTGCGGTACCTAATTTCCAACCCACGCGGTACAATAACGTGTCGTTCATCTGGCGTAAATAATGTCCCGCTACTCCGCTCGCCGCGAGTCCGATCGTGAGATCGATCTTGACCTGGTTCTTCCCAAACGCGTGCGTCGCGCCAGTCGCCATCGATCCGACCGGTCCCACGTTCCACGTCACGTGCCCGCGCGTCTGCGCGAACAGCTGCCGTTGAAGCATAAGCTGTAGTCCCCACCCCTGCTGCGCGACGTAATTGTGCGAGATCACCCCCGTGGTGTTCGTCGTGAGCTGTCGCGAAATCGTCGCCGTGCACGCGCTCGTGTGTCCTGTCTGCGCGCTCAAATCGAGCGACGTCAACGGCGAAAACTGCCTTCGCCACCCGAGGATGATGTTACCCGCCCCTCGTCCACCGCGCATCGTTCCTTGCGTGACCGCGTACGCCGCGTCTTCATCGCTCAACGGGATCTCCATCGAGTTCGACATCGACGCGCTCGTCAAATCCAACCCGGGCCGATCCGTGAACGCCCGTCGTCGTCTCGCGATCGACTCCTCCACCAAGTGCGCCGCCGAGAACCCAAATACATACGTCCCGTTAAAATTCAACCTCGCTTCCGCCTCCTCCCTTCGTTCCTTCGCCCTCTGCTTATCGAACTCCGCGCGCAACTCGTCCAGCGTCTTAAACCGCGCGCTGAGTTCCCGTCCCGCCCGCACCCCAGCCATACCGTGCGCGTCGTACGTCCGTCGCTTATCACCGTCCGACAACACCTCGTACGCCTCACCGAGCCTCGCGAACGCCGCCTGCGCCGCTCGACGTCGTCCCTCGTCCGCGTCTCCACCCATCTTGTCCGGGTGCAGCGCCGACGCTCTTCCGCGGTACGCCCGCTTGATCTCCGCATCGCTCGCCGTCCTCGAGACGCCGAGCGCGGCGTAGAGATCGCGCTCGACGCCGTCGTCCTCGCGCGACATCGCGCTCGCGCGCGCGCGCGTCCGGCGGCGTCGTCGGCGTCGGCGTCGGCCGCGTCGGCGCGCGACCGGGCGAAAGGCGCGATCGAAAGGCGCGATCGAAAGGCGCGATCGCGATCGAAAGGCGCGGGACGCCTTTCGAGCGCGTCCATCGAAAGGCGCGGGACGCGCGCGATGGGGCCCCATCGCGCGCGTCCCCCGCACCGCGTCGCGCGCGCGCGAATGGCGCCGCGAAAACGGGCGCGACGAACGTCGGGACGACCCCGCGCGCGCGCGAGTTCCGCCGGCGCGCGCGGACGTCACCGTGGTCGTGGACCTGGGCGCGGGAACGCTTAAACTCGCGTTCGCGGAGGACGGCGACGGGACGACGCCGATCGCGGTGCCGAACGCGAGCGCGCGCGCGCGGGGGGGGGCGTCGGTGAGCGGAAGCGCGCTGGCGGCGGTGACGGACGTGAACGGGCTCGCGCTGCGCCGAGCGCACGACCGCGGGTACTGCGTGAACTGGGAGCTCCAGCGGGAGGTGTTGCGAGAGGCGCTCGAGGGCGATCTGGGCGTGGACGCGCGGAAGTGTGACTTGGTGATCACGGAGGCCCCGTTCGCGCTTCCGGCGACGCGGGAGGGGTTGGACGCGATGGTGTTCGAAGATCTTGGGTTTCGCCGAATGCTGGTGGCGACGCCGGCGCAGTTGGCGAAGCGATACGCGGATCGCGCGGAGGCCGAAGACGGGCGAGATGCGGGTGATTTATGCGTCCTGGCGCGAGCTGGGGTGGTTTTGGACGTCGGGTTCTCGTTCACGCACGCGACGGCGATATGTGGGGGAGTGGAGATCGCGAGAGGGATTCGCAGGTTGAACCTGGGCGGAAAGACGTTGACGAATTATTTGAAGGAGCTCGTGAGTTTTCGGCAGTGGAACATGATGGACGAGAGCGTCGTGATCGAGGACGCGAAGGAAAAGGCGTGTTACGTCGCTGATGACGTCATGGCCGAGTTGGAGAAGTGCAAGGTCAAGCGGGGTGGCGCAGTGCGAAGGGAGTACGTGTTGCCGGACGGCATACACATCTTACGCGGGTACATCAAGGACATCGATGAAGGTAAAAAGGACAAAAACAAAAACGGCGAGGATGAGGGTGAGAACGACGAAGACGACGAAGACGAAGACGAAGACGACGACGAAGATTTTGGAGCCAAGGGACCGAAGAGAGGAAAGAAGAAGCAACCAAAGCCGCCCATGGCAAAGGCACTGAAACCCGCCGAACCTGATCATCAAGTATTGACACTCGTTAACGAACGCTTCATGGTGCCGGAAACGCTGTTTCACCCGAGCGATATCGGAGCGAGGCAGTGCGGCGTTACGGAGCTGGTCACCCAGGCGGTGGAGAATGACGACTTGTGTGACGCCCAGCGCGCGCTCTGTTACCTCGACGTCTTCGTCACGGGTGGATGCTCGCTCTTTCCTAACTTCATGGAGCGCTTCGAGCGTGATCTACGTCCTCTCATCTCTGAATCGTACGTGATACGGGTGCGCCGAGCGAAGGATCCAATCTTAGCTGCGTGCTTGGGCGGCGTTGACCTCGCACGAGATCGCAAATTTTTCGAGGAAAATGCCATCACCAAGGAGGAATACTTGGCAAACAAGGCTAGCATTCGAGAGGCGCACCAGAGCTTGGAGTTCCACCCGAGCGTTCGAACAGGGCGCCTTCGAGCGTACGCGCGTGAGCCTACGAAATTCGATGCGAATCGAATTAAGGCTGAGTGTATGAAATTGACACCAACAAACGAGCGAGAGATTGAGCGCGCGTCAGAATAGAATAATCGTGATGGTGTCTTTTTAACAACCGAAACGGAGCTAGTTTGTCCTAAATATGGATGAATCATCCACGGAAGCCAGTTATTTCTTGGCGATGACCCGCGACGAAACAGCAACTCTCACCACAGCAACCGTTCTCGCCCGACCACTGCTGAGAGTGCGTGCAGTCGTCTCGCCACAGCTCACTGTACACGCGAGCTTGTTCCTCCTTCTTGATTCCGATTATGTCCATCCAAGCATTCTTATGCTTGAACTCGTTGGCAAACTGGAACAAATACGGTACCGCGACCGGAACGAAAACGTTACCCTTCAAATCGTCACGCACGGATTCGTCCATCGGAATGTACAGGTCGGAGTAAAATCTTCCTCGAACTGTGTTCGCCTTCCACGTCGGCTTCATGTGCTGCGCCTTCTCCTCTGCTTGCTTTTGTTTGTTCTTCGCCTTTGTCGCCACCTCACCCATGATGTCATCCGTGGCGTTTGCGCTAATCGTCAGATTTTTATCGGCGCCAACCGCCGCCGCGGCATCCACGCTGGAATCCCCGTACTCTCCATCGAGTGAGTCCAAGAACACGAGATCATCATCCTTAGTCCTCGGCTCACTCTTACCCACCTGTGCCGTCGGCTCTTGCTCGCTCTCCACGGACGCGGAATTATCTACCTTACCGCCGTCGCTCTCCGCCTTGGCGATGGAATCACCAATGGCTCCTAAAACGTCCTCGATGTCCATGCTTCGCATGTCGGGAGCGTTCTCTTCGTCAACGTGCTTCGACGATTTGTGCTTTGAAGACTTGTGCATATTCGAGCTCTCCGAATCCTCATTTTCGAGTGAGTCGACGATGATCGTGTCCCCAGCGAGCAATTTTCTCGCAGAACTAAATCGAGTCGGATCCTCTTGCACGTTGTAACGACGCTGCCACATGTACGGAAGCGCTGGGATCTTCCCTTCCTTCGCCATTTTCTGCAACTTAGCGACATGAGGTTCGAAAAATTTCACCAACTCTTCCGTTGCTTTCTTGTCTTCCTCCGTCTTAGAAAGCTGCGGTTGCAAGTCGTACGGCACAGATGAGAAGCGAGATGTCCGCGCGCCCAGAGCGGTAAAGTCGTAGGGCTTAATGTTCGGCGGAAGCCCGAGGTAAGACTCCACGGCTCGCGCCACTTGCTCGGGATTGTCCTCGATATCGTCCGCGTATAGTACGAGAAGGTTGGGGAACTCTTTCTTCCAGATCTCAAGGTACTCGGCGTACAAGCTCCAGCCCAAGAAGGAATGGAAGTCCAAGCACTCGCGCGCAACGGTCTCGGAGGATTCGCCCTTCGTCTCCTCCAGACACTGCTCGAGATTTTGTTGCGTCTTCTTCGCCGTCTTGCCCCACGTGTAGCCGTTTTCCTTGAGCGCGCACGCGCTGAGTCCCGCCGCCTCCACTGGTGTGCCGTGCGGGTGGTTCTCCTCAACGTAACGAGCCATCGCTCGTCCCACGGGATCTCTCAGGACCACGATCGGTCGAAGCTCCGGCATCAACCTCTTCATTGTCGCCGCGCAGCACGCGCAGTTGAAGTATGTATCGGACCAATCGCCGCTCACGACGTCACCGAGCGCGCGATCGAACGCCTCGCCATCCTTCTTGCGCTTCATCGTTTGCGCGGGGTCGTACGGACTCCACGCATCCTTGCCAGCGAGCACGCTCGCGAAGTACGCCTTGAGCAACAATCCTTTCGGTTCGCACATCTGCACCCCTTGCGTCGCCCCGTACACCGGATTAAAAAAGTGCACCGTCTTTTGCAAATCTGTCAACATGTCGTGCTGCGACATCAGCGCTCGCAGGCGCCGCGCGCCCCCGACGTGACTCCCCACGACCGCGAACGCGGGCATGCACGACTCTCCTCCCGTCACGCTCGCATCTTTCCGACATCGCATCGCCTCCCCCGACCCCACCGCGGCGTCTCGACGCGCCGCCCATCGACTGACGTGCTCGAACCGCCACACGGGGTGTTCGACGAACATCGACCCGATCCAGAGCACGAGCGCGCATCCCACGAGCGCGACGACGCCCGGAATCAGGTGCGCGAGCTTCGTTCGCGCGCTCACGGTCCCACCGCGCCCCTCGCTCGCGTCGGCATCGCGCTCGCGCGCGATCGAGGCGTCGACGCCAACACCATGCGACGCGCGCGCGTCATCGTCCTCGCGCGCGGACGCGGTGGATCCACCGCGCGCGGCGCGCGCGA